GACCCCCTCCCAGTTGGAGGGTGGAGCCATATGGGTCACACTAGGCTTTGTTCCACAGAGAGAGTCAGTCACTTTAGGCAGTACTGACACTGCTCCCTCCTGAACCTCAGGGGAGAAGCTGATATCAGGCTGCTCTGTGACCCCAACAACCTTCCATTGTTGGGCTTGGAGGTTAGCTAGTGGGCACAATGCAGACCATCGTATGAGCCTGAAGGGTCTCTGCAGAGCCCAGGGTGAAGGTAAGGGTGGGGGAAAAGACCCCAACATTGGAGGACCCACAGAGGCAGGAAAGACCAACAACAGGGATTCATTCCAGGGGCTGTGCCTGCTTTCAGAAGGACCCAGGCCAGTCCTGGCACACACTGGATGCTGACCCAGTCATATACACACACAACCCTGAGTTCCCCTACATGCAGCCCAAAGACAAGGACAGCCAACAACATGTGGCACCACCTCTCTCCCGTCTGTCATCAGACACAGCCACCACTTGCTATGGCACCCTTGGTGGCAGGAAACAAGGTAACTCCCTTCTGACAAGACAGACAGACAGAGGGTGAAAAGGCTGCAGGTTCCTTGAAGACATGGGCCTCAGGAAAATGTGCCCATCTGTGTGTCGGTACAGTTCTTCTGTCTTCACTTGCCACAGACAGGTGAACCAGTCCATGTGACCCTCACGTCCATTTGTGTGTCAGCTGTGCAGTGCCCCCTGGTGCTCCCGGATGGCCTCCTTCCTTGGTCATAGCCTTCCTTACGAATCTCCTGACCCCTTGGCCTGTCCATGTAGGAGGGCCCCGCTGGGGAAGGCATCCCCCTGACACACACACGAGCACACTAGAAACGGGCAGGACACATATCTATAGCCATCCGAGGGTACTGGCACCACCGCAGAGGGTACTGGTGTCCAGCAGCAGCCATCAGAGATTGGTACGGAGCCCAGTGGCCTCCAGTCTCCAACTGAAGCCTCAGTCCCACCTGGGAAACCTTTCCTGCACAAAGTATATGCTAGGGGATCTGAGCCTACAGATGCTCGTGGTGTACACCAACAGCGAGCCCGCGTGGTCATCTGCAAAACAGAGAGAGAAATAGCCCCCATCACTGTGTCATCAGCTTTCCTGCCTGCCACGCTCTCCTCAGATGAGACAGCACCATCAGGTGGCCAGAGGGACACGCACATCGTCTTCTTCTGCCCAAATGAGACAGCGCCTCTGGTGGCTAAAGAGGACAGGCACATTATCCCAGAGGTACTGCCAGGGTCCAAGTTCTCTGACAACCTCCAGCCTTTTATGGATGAAGAGAGATGGAGAAGAAACACTGGCCTCAGATGCAAGGCCACAGGCAACCCCAGAGAGATGTTAGTCCTCAGGAAAGCTAGTGTCAGAGCACCTTCCTTAGCTTCTACAGCCTAAAACTCTGACCCTAGCCTAAGCCTAAGCCTAACCCTCCCAAATGAGGTGCCATCCTCCCTCCTGTGCCCCCCTCCAACACGGGCAGGTCCATTCCAGAAAGAATGTGTCGCGCGCAGTGTCTGTGATGTCTTTCTCTGCCTCTATGCCTGTCTAGGTGGACTTGAGAATCTTCCACTGTGGCTGGGTTCTCAGCTTTGCCCTCTGGTGGCCAAACATGGAACAGGCGGCAGTATCAGAGTGAACTGGAAAGGGATAGAGTCTCTGAAAGAGAGAATCCCAAAAGACATCCTGATACTGTTCCAAACAATTTGGCTCGAATCTTTCAGTCCTTTTAAGTTGACCGACAGCTGAACCCTGCTTCTTTGGGTGAGCAGGTTTCCATGTTTTTCTCAATCTGTAGGTACCACAGCTCATTCTGGTTTTCTCATGGGACTTGTAGCCTGAGTCATCTTCCATTTTCTTGGGTCCAATACAGGGCACTAGTAAAATGAAATTCTGGGCTTGTTGCTGATGCTGTCAGTTATGCCAAGTTACAACATGGGCTAAAGAGCAAAAAAATGCAAACGGTCTGAAGTGAGTTCGTGAATGACAGACACACAGAGGAATCCGAGCAGCAGGATGGATGCATTTGCAGTCCAGTGAGATGAGCTGAGTTTAGCTGGCCTGCAATGAGGGACCACCACTGGCCTGGATCACTGGTTTCCAAAGTCTCAGAGAGTCGCTGGTCAGCCTGGGGCCAGGAACAAAATCACAAAGACTTTGAACAGTGAACCACCAGAAGGAAAGATGTCCCACTGCAAAGGATTTAGCGGGATTCTGACACCAGTCAGACAGACAGACAGACACCTGACCTGTCTGTCTCCTGCTTCCTGGGTGGAGTGAGTGGGTTGATTTTTCTCTCCTGAGTGTGGTTAAGGCACATTCTGCTTTTCTTATGGGACTTCGGCCCTCCCTCCTTCCCCCAGTATGGATCATCCATATTTCACAAGGCTTTTTCACCCAGAATCACCAGATAAATAGAGACAGACATCCTGTCACAAAAGTTAGGGAGAGAGAGAGAGAGAGAGAGACAGAGAGAGAGACAGAGAGAGAGACAGAGAGAGAGGGAGAGAGAGTGAGTCTTACATCAATATTTTGGGTGGCATGTGTCTGTTAGCGTGAGGAACTAGGATTGTGTGTGTATATGTATCTATCAGGATGAGTCTGGTGAATGGGACATTGTGTGTGTGTTACTGTGAGTTGGTATGATTTTAGGGTGAGGGTGGGAAACGTGGCTTGTGTGTGTTTTAGTGTGAAGTAGGAGAAGGAGCCAGCTTGTGTTTTCCGAATGAGCCCATGGAACGGGGCATGCGTGTATATTTAGCATGAGCTTGGGGTAGACGGCTTGTGTGTGTTTTAGTGTAAAGCAGAGAAGGGCTTGTGTGTGTTTTGAGGGTGAGCCCAGGGATTCTGGCATGTGTGAGCATATTAGGGTCAAGTTCAGGAGCGGAGAATGTGTGTGTTTTCAAGCTGAGTGTAGGAAACCTGGCATGTGTGTGTGTGTGTTTGACGTGAAATGCTACCAATCCGACGTCTCAGGAATCCGGCCGCTCCCTCGAAGCACTGAAAGGTGACCCTGAAGCCTAAAATCCTAACCCTAACCCTTTTCCCAAACAGTAACACAAACTCTAACTCTAACCCTAGCCCTAACCCCGCCTCGCTTTTCCTCCCTCCCATGGCTAACCCAAAATCATGGCATTTGGGTTCCTCACTGGTAGACAGACAGACTGACAGACAGACAGGCAGGCAGGCAGGCAGGCAGACACAGACACACACACACACACACACACACACACACACACACACAAGCACAGACACACAGGCACACAGCAGATTCCAAGCTGCTTACATTGACTGACTTTGGAATATCTTATTAGCTGAGCTGGGTGACCTCCCACCTGCACGCAAGGGCACCCCCTCTTCCACATGTGTTGGAGGCAGACACTCATACACAACAGCCTCGGCTGGCCCAGGAACCAACCAGGACTGAGCAGAGGAACGGAAGGAGGGAGGGACAGAGCTACAGATGGACAAATGGACTTTAGTGGTCTTTCCTTCTTCCTTCCTTCCTTCCTTCCTTCCTTCCTTCCTTCCTTCCTTCCTTCGTTCCTTTCTTCCTTCCTTCCTTCCTTTCTCCCTTGCTTCTGGTCAAATAAAGGGCATGTTGGGAGTTGGAGACCAGCCTAGGCTCCAAAGGGAGCTCATGGCAAGGCCGAACTGCATCCATAGAGAGACCCTGGCTCAAGAAGTGAAAAAAATTAAAAATAAAACAAATAAAAGACACAAAAACATAAATCCTTTATAAATGATGGGGGAAGTGTGGTTCGAAAGGCCATGGCACCGAGCATTTCTGAGACTGCGTGGCTGGCAGGATTCCAGGGTATTAAACTGGTGACCTCCCATTTGAAGTATGGGCACAGGGACCGCTGAGCCAGAGGCCCAGAAGGTTCATGGCTGACTTCCGTTTTTGAATAGAGACAGAGACAGGTGCAGGTTGTCTGTCTGTCTGGCTACACTCCCTCCCTTGTGGGCTAAATGCATCAGCGCTGGCCCCCAGACCACTCCTGAGCCCCTTTCTCTGCCACCTGGGGGAAACAGGCAGGGAGACAGACCAGCTGAAATGGGAGGGCACGGGATGGGAGGTTTGAACTCACATGCAAATTAAAAAGTGACCCCGGACATAGTCACATCCAGCTCCCACCTCCACCAGCAGCACCCACCGCTCCTTCCTTCCATCTCGGGCTAATCCAGGCTCAGTTCCGAGGGCCCAAACTCCACTCCACACATCTCTCCCTAATTCACCATCAATCCCAAGAGGCTAATGCCCCCACCCTTCCACCCCTTCCCCTGGTCTTGGTGCCTAGGATTGGGGTGGGGGCCCCGAGTTTCTGTCCATCTGTGGTTCCAGCAGAAGTATTGAGGAGAGAAGGAGGAGGAGGAGGGAGAAGAATGAAAGGAGGTGAGAGCCGGGGGTGAAATGGAGTGGAGCGCTGGAAAGGCAGAAGCAGCAGCCACCACCGTGGTCCAAGCAAACAAACCCCCAAACAGCAGAGAGCAGGCAGAGTGAGGAGAGAGGAGAGAGGAGGGAGGGGAAAGCACAGAGACAGAGGGAGAGACACAGAGGGAGAGAGAGAGCAAGCCTAGAGAGGGAGAGAGGAGGAGGGCAGAGGTCCAAAAATGGGCGGGGTGGAGGGACTGATGAATGGAGACAGTGATGATTCTCCCTTTATTGGTTCTTCTGTTCATACATTCCTTCATTCGTTCATTCACTCATTCATTCACTTATTCGTCCCTTGGTTTGCAGGGAGCCTTTCTTTGTTCCTTCCCTTCCTTCCATCTTTATGGGTGAAAGTCAGATGGCTGCCCTGGAGCCTGGTGGGTGTGTGGCCCTAAGAGGCACAGAGGAGAGGCATGAAGGATCCCAGGGCTGGAAGGAAGGGCCCTGCCTACGTGGCAGAGGCTACAATAGCCTGGCAAGAGGGCAGCCCAGAACGTGACCCCTCCACAATGCACGGGGGTGGGGGGGGGTGGGGGAGGCTGCTCAAGAACCCTCACCTGGCTGTGCTGTGGTGTGTGCTGGATGGCTGTGGTCCCCCTCATCTCCTCTTGCTCATCGTCGTGGGGTCCTGGAAGGCAGGAAGGCCAGCAGGCAGTCAGGCAGGCAGGCAGGTAGGAGCTTCCAGCAGAGCCGGCAGCTTGGAGCTGGGAGGCTGCAGCTGGGGGGGCCAGAGCCCTGAGCCCAGAGAGCTGGGTTCCAGGAACCTGGAGGAAGGCAATGAGCAAGGGTTGAGCAAAGGGTGGGCCAGCGGGTGGCCCAGTAAGTGACCCCAGCACCACACACCACAAAACATCATGGGGGCCCCCAGGCACAAGGACCCTCACCTTGCTGGCTGTCTGGTGGACAGCTGTTGTCCGCCTCAACTCATCGTGGCCCGCATCATCACGGGGTCCTGGAGGGCAGGCAGGCTGGCAGGTGGGAGGAGATGCATGGTGAGCCAGGATCCAGGAGCTGGGAGTGCCAAGTCCCAGGAACCTGGAGGAAAACATGGAGCCAGTGAAGGCTGAGCTGGGGAGGGCAGGGGAGAGGCCCAGAACTCCACCGCACCACTATACACCCCTCCACGGGGGGCAGGCAGGCGGCTCAGTCCAGTGACCCTCACCTCACTCGATGCATGGCAGATGGCTGTTGTCCCCATCTCTTCTTGGTCCGCATTGTCATGGGGTCCCTGAAGTCAGGCAGGTAGCCAGGCAAGCAGGCAGAGCTCCTGGGAGAGCTGGGAGCCAGGAGCTGGGCCAGCAAGAGGGGTCCTGGGAACCTGGAGGGGAATGGAGAGAGAAAGCAGGGAAGGGGAGCTCTGGAGGGCCAGCCAGAGGTCTGGCTGTGTGGGCTGGTTAACTCCTGCTGCATGGTGTCTGGTGCCTGAGCTTGTTAAGGCTTGAGGTCAGTCAGGGAGAATGCATGGGAAACCCTGGAGCCCAGGAGCCCAAGATCTGGCCACGCCCGTGCAGCCCAGCTAATCCCTCCATGCTGGCTGCAGATCCCATCAACCTGGCCCCTAATCCTTTCATCTCCTCCTGTGGCACCACCCTGGTGTCCCGGAAGTCCCCTTTCCCTTCACTCACTTCCTGGCTCGCTCATTGGCTGAGGAGGAGGATGGCATTATGGGGTGGACTCAGGATTTCAGAGGCAGGGTTTTCATTTCATTTTTTTTTCTTGGTCTTTTTCATTTTTATCTGTACCGGGGATCGAATTCAGGACCCCCTGCTTGCAAGGCAGGTGTTTATGCCGCTGAGTTAAACACCCAGCCCCCAGGATTTTCATTTTAAAAAAGTGGAAAAGAATATGGGGCTGATTAGGGATTAGGGCTGAGAGGGCAGAGAGCCATCAGCGAGTGGGGATCAGCAGGGTGTACTCCAAAGAACTCTGGATGGGAGAATCACCAAAATGGGATGGCCACGTGGACAGTGAGGACTAGGAGGGAGGGTGGCCTGTGCTGATGCCCCTGGGTGAAGGCAAGGAGGCTGGCAGCCAGGCCAGGAGCACAGAGGAAGGCAAGCAGCCAGGGAAGGAAGGGGGCCCGGGAAGCAAGGACATCAGGGAGGCAATCCAGGGCAGACAGAGGAGGCGGAGAAGCCTGGGGAGGCAGAGCAGCACCCAGGGACCAGGAAGGAAGGCAAGGAGGAGCCAGGGAGCCCAGGGAGCCTGGGAAGAAGGGGTGCCAGGGAAGCCAGGAGGGAGACTGGGGAAGCCAGCCAGGGCAGCCAGAAGAGGCAGAGAGGATAGAGGAGGCAGGGCACCCAGGGAGCTCAGGGAACCCAGAAATCCCAGAGAAAGCAGGGTTTAAAGCCAGGCAGGGAACCTTGACTGAACTCTGCCCAATCTTGGAAATCAGAAAGCCAGGGACTCAGGGACACAGGAGAACCTCGGAGGCCTTGGATGCTGAGAGGAAGCAGGAAAGCCTCGGAGAATTCGATGTTCAGTCAGCAGACAGACTTTTCCCACTTGGAAAATTTCACCTAGGCTGTGGAATTCATGGTGCATGAACCCACAGCAGATCCAATCCAGCCTGGGGTGTGGCATGGCTGCTGGGGCGTGGCAGCCCATTGCCTCCCTAAATCCCTGCCTGTTAAGCCCAGAGGCTGGCTAAACTGCAACCCTGCGCTAATTCTAACCCAGGCCATCCTAACCCTAGCTGCCTGGGGTCCACTGGCCTGCCCTAATCCAGCACTCCTCTAGCTAAGCCTCCGGAACCAACACCCTGTTGCCACCCTACTCCACTCCCTGCATCCTGTCTGCCACTCCCAGGCAGCCCACTCACTCACTCAGTCCCCTCCACTCTGTGCCCAGCCTCCAAGAGCCCAGAGACCACAGCACAGAAACCAGAGCACAGAGCCCAGAGCCAAAAGGCAAGAATGTAAAACTTCAAAGAGCAGAGGTCCTGAGAAAAGCAAAGAAAGAGACAGAGACAGAGATGGAGAAACAGCCAGAGACAGAGATGTCCAAAGAGTTAAAGGGCCCCCCGGAGAATAGCACAGAGGGGACAGCCCAGCCAGTGGTAAATGGGAAAGGAGGGGGGGGGATAAACTGGGGAATGAGGGATGGAGGGAGGGATCCAAAAGAGGCAAAGGGACTGAAGACAGACAGGGCAATCCCAGCAGCAAGACCCAGGCAGAGGCTTAGATTAGAATCCACTGAGCTGAGCTGAGCTGAGCTGCTGTGTGTGTTAGGCTCATGGTTGATGATCAGGGCATAGGTGTGTGTGTGTGTATGTGTGTGTGTGTGTGTGTGTGTGTGTGTGTGTGTGTGTGTGTGTGTCTGTGTGATGTTACGGTCTGTAAAAGAGTGGGGAAGGCCCCAGTTAACAGAGACATGGGTGAGGCTGCACAAACAACTGAGACCCAGCCCCAAAAAGCCCAGGGGAAGGTAAGAAAGCAGAGAGAGACTGAAAGCAGCCCAGGGAGGGAGAAAACCCGAGAGAGTGAAAAAAGACTGCAGCTCCTCCCCCTGCAAACAAAACCAGAGAGAACCCAAACTAGGCAAAGGCCAGAGGAAAGCAGAGACAGAGAAAGACAGAGAAACAGACAGAGACAGAGACAGTGACAGAGACAGAGAGACAGACAGAGAGAGTGAGGCAGAAAGAGTCTAAGGGCTCAGAGAAAGGTACAGAGAGTGTGCAGATGGGTGGTAAAAGGGACAGGACTGGGGATGAAAACAGGGAGGGATCGGAGAGAGGATCCAAAGGTGTTTGTGTAGGACAGATGTGGGAATCCCAGCAGACAGGCAGGAAGAGGAGTAGGTAGATCTGGGATGCATCAGCAGAGCTCAGCTGAGCCCTGAGTGTTAGGCTCTCGGGTGAAGATCAAGGCATAAGGGTGTGTGTGGTGTTAGGGTCTGAGAAAAAGCAGGGAGGAGAGAGTGAAAAAAGGCATAGGGCCACAAGGACAGCTGAGAGACAGCTAAAAGCAAGGCCCCTTGCACGACAAAAAGCAGAGAGAGAGAGAGAGAGAGACAGAGAGAGAGAGAGAGAGAGAGAGAGAGAGCAAACAGAGAGAAACGGGTCCCAAGTGGGTTCATGGATGATGATCTAGGAGTCAGTCCAATCAGGGGGCAAATGGATAGACAGACACATGTGGGGTTTATGGAGCCCAGCTGAGCAGAGCCAAGTGAAGCAGAGCAGTGCAGTGCTGAGCCGAGCTGAGCTTCATATGCCAGTTTTATAGGTGATGATCAGGACATCTGTGTGGGTTGTTAGAGTTGGGGTGTGGGTGGATGCGGGGGGAGCATGTTTGTGTTGTGAACCTGCACTCATCAGTGCCCAGTGTGAGCGCAGGAGGCTGGGAGCCAGGGAGCCAAGCCTGAACACTCTTTCTGTGTTTTTTCACGGATCTCTGGATCTGAGAACCACCAAACCAAACAGGCAGACAGGTATCCCACTGGAAATGACATTCAGCTAGAGGTTGACATGGATTTTCACTCAGCATCAGACAGACAGACAGACACCTTTCTCCTCCCGCCTCCTTTGGTGAAGTAAGAGGGCTGATTTTTGTCTCCTGTGTGAGGCAGGCCTGGGGAAGGGGCGTGGTTCACCCTGCTGGCTGGCTCCTTTTGCTGCTCTGATGGGACTTTTAAGGTGAGCCAGTGATTTCTCCATGTTTCAGGATGCTACGTTAGGAAAAGAGAAATGCAATAAATTTTTCCATGGGGAACAATTCAACTAGACTGTCAAGTTGCTTTTTGGTACAACACAGCAACTTCCTCTAGGGTGGGGTTGATTCTAATCCAGCATCTAAACTGGCATTCCTTTGTGGTGGGTGGGGGATGGAGTAGGAGGTGGGGGTTCATGTGAATAGGGGCTTCTCTAAGCCACTGGCTCCCTAATCCCAGCAGATCTCTAACCCTCACCCCTCTGGTAGACCTAACATGAACCCCCCCAGGGCCACTCCCGCAACTTAATACACTGCTCCCCAAATCCTCAACAACCACCTCCTGGCTCTAGAAGTCCTGCTGGAAGTGACTTAATTAGAATCTGACATTCATCAGTGATGGGTGGGCTCATCAGAACTAGAGGTCTTCAGTCCCCCTCCCAGTTGGAGGGTGGAACTATATGGGTCACACTAGGCTGTGCTCTACAGAGAGATTCAGTCCCTTTAGAGGGTACTGGCACTGCTCTTTCCTCAACCTCAGAGGAGGAGCCAATATCAGGCTGCTCTGTGACCCCAACAACCTTCCATTGTTAGCCCTGGAGGGTAGCTAGTGGGCATGATGCAGACCATCGTATGAGCCTGAAGGATCTATGCAGAGCCCAGGATGAAGGTAAGGGTAGGGGGAAAAGACCCCAACATTGGAGGCCCCATGGAGGCAGGCAAGACCAACAGCAGGAATTCATTCCAGGGGCTGTGCCTGCTCTCAGAAGGACCCAGGCCAGTCCTGGCACACACTGGATGCTGACCCAGCCCTATACACACACAACCCTGAGTTCCCCTACATGCAGCCCAAAGACAGAGACAGCCAACAACACGTGGCACCACCTCTCTCCTGTCTGTCATCAGACACAGCCACCGCTTGCTATGGCACCCTTGGTGGCAGGTAACAAGGTAACTCCCTTCTGATCAGACAGATAGACAGAGGGTGACAAGGCTGCAGGTTCCTCGAAGACATGGGCCCCAGGAAAATGTGCCCATCTGTGTGTCGGTACAGTTCTTCTGTCTTCACTTGCCACAGACAGGTGAACCAGTCCATGTGACCCTCACGTCCATTTGTGTGTCAGCTGTGCGGGTGCCCCCTGGTGCTCCCCGATGGCCTCCTTCCTTGGTCATAGCCTTCCTTACGAATCTCCTGACCCCTTGGCCCGAACATGTAGGAGGGCCCTGCTGGGGCAAGGCATCCCCCACACACTCACACACACGTGCACAGTAGAAACGGGCAGGATACATATCTATAGCCATCCGAGGGTCCTGGCACCACCTCAGAGGGTACTGGTGTCCAGCAGCAGCCATCAGAGATTGGTATGGAACCCAGTGGCCTCCAGTCTCCGACCTAAGCCGCAGTGCCACGTGGGAAACCTTCCCTGCACAAAGTATATGCTCTGGGATCTGAGCCTATAGATGCTCATGGTCTACACCAACAGCCAGCCCAGGTGGTCATCTGCAAAAGAGAGAGAGAGAGAAATAGCCCCCATCACTGTGTCATCAGCTTCCCTGCCTGCCACGCTCTCCTCAGATGAGACAGCGCCATCTGGTTGCTAGAGTGGACATGCACATCCTCCTCTTCTGCCCAAATGAGACAGCGCCCCTGTTGCTAAAGAGGACAGGTACATTATCCCAGAGGTACCGCCAGGGTCCAAGTTCTCTGACAACCTCCAGTCTCTTATGGATGAAAACAGAGATGGGGAAGAAACACTGGCCTCAGATGCAAGGCCACAGGCAACCCCAGAAAGATGCCAGTCCTCAGGAAAGCCAGTGTCAGAGCACCTTCCTTAGCTTCCACTGCCTAAAACCCTGACACTGAGCCTAAGCCTAAGCCTAACGCTCCCAAATGAGGTGCCGTCCTCCCTCCTGTTTCCCCCTCCAACACGGGACAGGTCCATTCCAAAAGAATGTGTCGCGTGCAGTATCTGTGATGTCTTTCTCTGCTTCTATGTCTGTCTCTGGACTTAAGAATCTTCCACTGTGGCTGGGTTCGCAAGCTTTGCCCTCTGGTGGCCAAAACATGGAACAGGCGGCAGCATCTGAGTGAACTGGAAAGTGACAGAGTCTCTGAAGGAGAGAATCCCAAAAGACATCCTGATACTGTTCCAAACAATTTGGCTCGAATCTTTCAGTCATTTTCAGTTGACCCACACCTGAATCCTGCTTCTTTGGGTGAGAAGGTTTCCATGTTTTTGTCAATCTGTAGGTACCACAGCTCATTCTAGATTTCCGATGGGACTTGTATTCTGAGTCACCTTCCATTTTCTTGGGTCAAATTCAGGGCACTAGTAAAATGAAATTCTGGGCTTGTTGCTGATGCTGTCAGTTATGCCAAGCTACAACATGGGTCAGAGAGCAAAGAGATGCAAAAGATCTGAAGTGAGTTCGTGAATGACAGACACACAGAGGAATCCGAGCAGCAGGATGGATGCATTTGCAGTCCAGTGAGATGAGCTGAGCTTAGCTGGCCTGCACTGAGTGACCACCACTGGCCTGGATCACTGGTTTCCAAAGTCTCAGAGAGTCGCTGGTCAGCCTGGAGCCAGCAAAAAATATCACAAAGACTTTGAACAGTGAACCACCAGAAGGAAAGATGTCCTCCTGCAAAGGATTTAGCGAGAGTCTGACACCCAGTCAGACAGACAGACAGACAGACAGACAGACAGACACCTGACCTGTGTGTCTTCTGCTTCCTGGGTGGAGTGAGTGAGTTGATTTTACTCTCCTGCGTGTGGTTAAGGCTCATTCTGCTTTTCTCATGGGACTTCGGCCCTACCTTTCTCCCCAAGTGTGGATCGTCCATATTTCACAAGGGTTTTTCACCCAGAACCGCCAGCAAAATACAGACAGATATCCTGTCACAAAAGTGAGAGAGAGAGAGAGAGAGAGAGAGAGAGAGAGAGAGAGAGAGAGACAAAGAGAGACAGAGAGAGAGATAGAGAGAGAGCGAGAGAGAGAGAGAGAGAGAGCGAGTCTTACATCAATATTTGGGGTGGCATGTGTCTGTTAGCGTGAGGAACTAGGATTGTGCGTGTGTATGTATCTATTAGGATGAGTCTGGTGAGTGGGACATTGTGTGTGTGTTACTGTGAGTTGGTATGATTTTAGGGTGAGGGTGGGAAACGTGGCTTGTGTGTGTGTTTTAGTGTGAAGTAGGAGAAGGAGCCAGCTTGTGTTTTCCGAATGAGCCCATGGAACGGGGCATGTGTGTATATTTAGCATGAGCTTTGGGTAGACGGCTTGTGTGTGTTTTGAGGGTGAGCCCAGGGATTCTGGCATGTGTGAGCATATTAGGGTGAAGTTCAGGAGCGGGGAATGTGTGTGTTTTCAAGCTGAGTGTAGGAAACCGGGCATGTGTGTGTGTTTTTGGGGTGAAATGCGACCAATCTGACGTCTCAGGAACCCAGCTACTCCCTCGGAGCACTGACAGGTCACCCTGAAGCCTGAAATCCTAACCCTAACCCTTTTCTCAAACAGTAACACAAAGCCTAACTCGAACCCTAGCCCTAACCCCGCCTTGCTTGTCCTCCCTCCCATGGCTAACTCAAAATCATGGCATTTGGGTTCATCACTGGTAGACAGGCAGACAGACAGACAGACAGACAGACAGGCAGACACACACACACACACAGACACACACACACACAGACACACACACACAGCAGATTCCAAGCTGCTTACATTGACAGGCTTTGGAATATCTTATTAGCTGAGCTGGGAAACCTCCCACCTGCACACCAGGACACCCCCTCTTCCACATGTGTTGGAGTCAGACACTGAAACCCACGACCCTTGGCTGGCCCCAGAACCAACCGGGACTGAGCAGAGGAATGAAAGGAGGGAGGGACAGAGGGACAGATGGACCATGGTCTTTTAGTGGTCCTTCCTTCTTCCTTCCTTCCTTCCTTCTTTCCTTCCTTCCTTCCTTCCTTCCTTCCTTCCTTCCTTCCTTCCTTTCTTCCTTCCTTCTTTCCTCCCTTCCTTCCTCCCTTGCTTCTGGTCAAATAAGGGGCATGTTGGGAGTTGGAGACCAGCCTAGGCTCCAAAGGGAGCTCAAGGCCAGGCCAAATTGCATCCCTAGAGACCCTGGCTCAAGAAGCGAAAAAAATTAAAAATAAAACACATAAAAGACACAAAAACATAAATCCTTTATAAATGATGGGGGAAGTGTGGTTCGAAAGGCCATGGCACCGAGCATTTCTGAGGCGGCGTGGCTGGCAGGATTCCAGTGTATTAAACTGGTGACCTCCCATTTGAAGTGTGGGCACAGGGACCGCTGAGCCAGAGGCCCAGAAGGTTCATGGCTGACTTCCGTTTTTGAATAGAGACAGAGACAGGTGCAGGTTGTCTGTCTGTCTGGCTACACTCCCTCCCTTGTGGGCTAAATGCATCAGCGCTGGCCCCCAGACCACTCCTGAGCCCCTTTCTCTGCCACATGTGGGAAACAGGCAGGGAGACAGACCAGCTGAAATGGGAGGGGACGGGATGGGAGGTTTGAACTCACATGCAAATTAAAAAGTGACCCCGGACTTAGTCACATCCAGCTCCCACCTCCACCAGCAGCACCCACCGCTCCTTCCTTCCATCTCTGGCTCATCCAGGCTCAGTTCCGAGGGCCCAAACTCCACTCCACACATCTCTCCCTAATTCACCATCAATCCCAAGAGGCTAATGCCCCCACCCTTCCACCCCTTCCCCTGGTCTTGGTGCCTAGGATTGGGGTGGGGGCCCCGAGTTTCTGTCCATCTGTGGTTCCAGCATCAGTATTGAGGAGAGAAGGAGGAGGAGGAGGGAGAAGAATGAAAGGAGGTGAGAGCCGGGGGTGAAATGGAGTGGAGCGCTGGAAAGGCAGAAGCAGCCAGCCACCACCGTGGTCCAAGCAAACAAACCCCAAAACATCAGAGAGCAGGCAGAGTGAGGAGAGAGGAGAGAGGAGGGAGGGGAAAGCACAGAGAGAGAGAGAGACAGAGGGAGAGAGAGAGCAAGCCTGGTGAGGGAGAAAGGAGGAGGGCAGAGGTCCAAAAATGGGCGGGGTGGAGGGACTGATGAATGGAGACAGTGATGATTCTCCCTTTATTGGTTCTTCTGTTCATACATTCCTTCATTCGTTCATTCACTCATTCATTCACTTATTCGTCCCTTGGTTTGCAGGGAGCCTTTCTTTGTTCCTTCCCTTCCTTCCATCTTTATGGGTGAAAGTCAGATGGCTGCCCTGGAGCCTGGTGGGTGTGTGGCCCTAAGAGGCACAGAGGAGAGGCATGAAGGATCCCAGGGCTGGAAGGAAGGGCCCTGCCTACGTGGCAGAGGCTACAATAGCCTGGCAAGAGGGCAGCCCAGAACGTGACCCCTCCACAATGCACGGGGGTGGGGGGGGTGGGGGAGGCTGCTCAAGAACCCTCACCTGGCTGTGCTGTGGTGTGTGCTGGATGGCTGTGGTCCCCCTCATCTCCTCTTGCTCATCGTCGTGGGGTCCTGGAAGGCAGGAAGGCCAGCAGGCAGTCAGGCAGGCAGGCAGGTAGGAGCTTCCAGCAGAGCCGGCAGCTTGGAGCTGGGAGGCTGCAGCTGGGGGGGCCAGAGCCCTGAGCCCAGAGAGCTGGGTTCCAGGAACCTGGAGGAAGGCAATGAGCAAGGGTTGAGCAAAGGGTGGGCCAGCGGGTGGCCCAGTAAGTGACCCCAGCACCACACACCACAAAACATCATGGGGGCCCCCAGGCACAAGGACCCTCACCTTGCTGGCTGTCTGGTGGACAGCTGTTGTCCGCCTCAACTCATCGTGGGCCGCATCATCACGGGGTCCTGGAGGGCAGGCAGGCTGGCAGGAGGGAGGAAATGCATGGTGAGACAGGATCCAGGAGCTGGGAGTGCCAAGTCCCAGGAACCTGGAGGAAAACATGGAGCCAGTGAAGGCTGAGCTGGGGAGGGCAGGGGAGAGGCCCAGAACTCCACCGCACCACTATACACCCCTCCACGGGGGGCAGGCGGGCGGCTCAGTCCAGTGACCCTCACCTCACTCGATGCATGGCAGATGGCTGTTGTCCCCATCTCTTCTTGGTCCGCATTGTCATGGGGTCCCTGAAGTCAGGCAGGTAGCCAGGCAAGCAGGCAGAGCTCCTGGGAGAGCTGGGAGCCAGGAGCTGGGCCAGCAAGAGAGGTCCTGGGAACCTGGAGGGGAATGGAGAGAGAAAGCAGGGAAGGGGAGCTCTGGAGGGCCAGCCAGAGGTCTGGCTGTGTGGGCTGGTTAACTCCTGCTGCATGGTGTCTGGTGCCTGAGCTTGTTAAGGCTTGAGGTCAGTCAGGGAGAATGCATGGGAAACCCTGGAGCCCAGGAGCCCAAGATCTGGCCACGCCCGTGCAGCCCAGCTAATCCCTCCATGCTGGCTGCAGATCCCATCAACCTGGCCCCTAATCCTTTCATCTCCTCCTGTGGCACCACCCTGGTGTCCCGGAAGTCCCCTTTCCCTTCACTCACTTCCTGGCTCGCTCATTGGCTGAGGAGGAGGATGGCATTATGGGGTGGACTCAGGATTTCAGAGGCAGGGTTTTCATTTCATTTTTTTTTCTTGGTCTTTTTCATTTTTATCTGTACCGGGGATCGAATTCAGGACCCCCTGCTTGCAAGGCAGGTGTTTATGCCGCTGAGTTAAACACCCAGCCCCCAGGATTTTCATTTTAAAAAAGTGGAAAAGAATATGGGGCTGATTAGGGATTAGGGCTGAGAGGGCAGAGAGCCATCAGCGTGTGGGGATCAGCAGGGTGTACTCCACAGAACTCTGGATGGGAGAATCACCAAAATGGGATGGCCACGTGGACAGTGAGGACTAGGAGGGAGGGTGGCCTGTGCTGATGCCCCTGGGTGAAGGCAAGGAGGCTGGCAGCCAGGCCAGGAGCACAGAGGAAGGCAAGCAGCCAGGGAAGGAAGGGGGCCCGGGAAGCAAGGACATCAGGGAGGCAATCCAGGGCAGACAGAGGAGGCGGAGAAGCCTGGGGAGGCAGAGCAGCACCCAGGGACCAGGAAGGAAGGCAAGGAGGAGCCAGGGAGCCCAGGGAGCCTGGGAAGAAGGGGTGTCAGGGAAGCCAGGAGGGAGACTGGGGAAGCCAGCCAGGGCAGCCAGAAGAGGCAGAGAGGATAGAGGAGGCAGGGCACCCAGGGAGCTCAGGGAACCCAGAAATCCCAGACAAAGCAGGGTTTAAAGCCAGGCAGGGAACCTTGACTGAACTCTGCCCAATCTTGGAAGGCAGAGAGCCAGCGACTCAGGGACTCAGGAGAACCTCGGAGGCCTTGGATGCTGAGAGGAAGCAGGAAAGCCTCGGAGAATTCGATGTTCAGTCAGCAGACAGACTTTTCCCACTTGGAAAATTTCACCTAGGCTGTGGAATTCATGGTGCATGAACCCACAGCAGATCCAATCCAGCCTGGGGTGTGGCATGGCTGCTGGGGCGTGGCAGCCCATTGCCTCCCTAAATCCCTGCCTGTTAAGCCCAGAGGCTGGCTAAACTGCAACCCTGCGCTAATTCTAACCCAGGCCATCCTAACCCTAGCTGCCTGGGGTCCACTGGCCTGCCCTAATCCAGCACTCCTCTAGCTAAGCCTCCGGAACCAACACCCTGTTGCCACCCTACTCCACTCCCTGCATCCTGTCTGCCACTCCCAGGCAGCCCACTCACTCACTCAGTCCCCTCCACTCTGTGCCCAGCCTCCAAGAGCCCAGAGACCACAGCACAGAAACCAGAGCACAGAGCCCAGAGCCAAAAGGCAAGAATGTAAAACTTCAAAGAGCAGAGGTCCTGAGAAAAGCAAAGAAAGAGACAGAGACAGAGATGGAGAAACAGCCAGAGACAGAGATGTCCAAAGAGTTAAAGGGCCCCCCGGAGAATAGCACAGAGGGGACAGCCCAGCCAGTGGTAAATGGGAAAGGAGGGGGGGGGGATAAACTGGGGAATGAGGGATGGAGGGAGGGATCCAAAAGAGGCAAAGGGACTGAAGACAGACAGGGCAATCCCAGCAGCAAGACCCAGGCAGAGGCTTAGATTAGAATCCACTGAGCTGAGCTGAGCTGAGCTGCTGTGTGTGTTAGGCTCATGGTTGATGATCAGGGCATAGGTGTGTGTGTGTGTATGTGTGTGTGTGTGTGTGTGTGTGTGTGTGTGTGTGTGTGTGTGTGTCTGTGTGATGTTACGGTCTGTAAAAGAGTGGGGAAGGCCCCAGTTAACAGAGACATGGGTGAGGCTGCACAAACAACTGAGACCCAGCCCCAAAAAGCCCAGGGGAAGGTAAGAAAGCAGAGAGAGACTGAAAGCAGCCCAGGGAGGGAGAAAACCCGAGAGAGTGAAAAAAGACTGCAGCTCCTCCCCCTGCAAACAAAACCAGAGAGAACCCAAACTAGGCAAAGGCCAGAGGAAAGCAGAGACAGAGAAAGACAGAGAAACAGACAGAGACAGAGACAGTGACAGAGACAGAGAGACAGACAGAGAGAGTGAGGCAGAAAGAGTCTAAGGGCTCAGAGAAAGGTACAGAGAGTGTGCAGATGGGTGGTAAAAGGGACAGGACTGGGGATGAAAACAGGGAGGGATCGGAGAGAGGATCCAAAGGTGTTTGTGTAGGACAGATGTGGGAATCCCAGCAGACAGGCAGGAAGAGGAGTAGGTAGATCTGGGATCCATCAGCAGAGCTCAGCTGAGCCCTGAGTGTTAGGCTCTCGGGTGAAGATCAAGGCATAAGGGTGTGTGTGGTGTTAGGGTCTGAGAAAAAGCAGGGAGGAGAGAGTGAAAAAAGGCATAGGGCCACAAGGACAGCTGAGAGACAGCTAAAAGCAAGGCCCCTTGCACGACAAAAAGCAGAGAGAGAGAGAGAGAGACAGAGAGAGAGAGAGAGAGAGAGAGAGAGAGAGAGAGAGCAAACAGAGAGAAACGGGTCCCAAGTGGGTTCATGGATGATGATCTAGGAGTCAGTCCAATCAGGGGGCAAATGGATAGACAGACACATGTGGGGTTTATGGAGCCCAGCTGAGCAGAGCCAAGTGAAGCAGAGCAGTGCAGTGCTGAGCCGAGCTGAGCTTCATATGCCAGTTTTATAGGTGATGATCAGGACATCTGTGTGGGTTGTTAGAGTTGGGGTGTGGGTGGATGCGGGGGGAGCATGTTTGTGTTGTGAACCTGCACTCATCAGTGCCCAGTGTGAGCGCAGGAGGCTGGGAGCCAGGGAGCCAAGCCTGAACACTCTTTCTGTGTTTTTTCACGGATCTCTGGATCTGAGAACCACCAAACCAAACAGGCAGACAGGTATCCCACTGGAAATGACATTCAGCTAGAGGTTGACATGGATTTTCACTCAGCATCAGACAGACAGACAGACACCTTTCTCCTCCCGCCTCCTTTGGTGAAGTAAGAGGGCTGATTTTTGTCTCCTGTGTGAGGCAGGCCTGGGGAAGGGGCGTGGTTCACCCTGCTGGCTGGCTCCTTTTGCTGCTCTGATGGGACTTTTAAGGTGAGCCAGTGATTTCTCCATGTTTCAGGATGCTACGTTAGGAAAAGAGAAATGCAATAAATTTTTCCATGGGGAACAATTCAACTAGACTGTCAAGTTGCTTTTTGGTACAACACAGCAACTTCCTCTAGGGTGGGGTTGATTCTAATCCAGCATCTAAACTGGCATTCCTTTGTGGTGGGTGGGGGATGGAGTAGGAGGTGGGGGTTCATGTGAATAGGGGCTTCTCTAAGCCACTGGCTCCCTAATCCCAGCAGATCTCTAACCCTCACCCCTCTGGTAGACCTAACATGAACCCCCCCAGGGCCACTCCCGCAACTTAATACACTGCTCCCCAAATCCTCAACAACCACCTCCTGGCTCTAGAAGTCCTGCTGGAAGTGACTTAATTAGAATCTGACATTCATCAGTGATGGGTGGGCTCATCAGAACTAGAGGTCTTCAGTCCCCCTCCCAGTTGGAGGGTGGAACTATATGGGTCACACTAGGCTGTGCTCTACAGAGAGATTCAGTCCCTTTAGAGGGTACTGGCACTGCTCTTTCCTCAACCTCAGAGGAGGAGCCAATATCAGGCTGCTCTGTGACCCCAACAACCTTCCATTGTTAGCCCTGGAGGGTAGCTAGTGGGCATGATGCAGACCATCGTATGAGCCTGAAGGATCTATGCAGAGCCCAGGATGAAGGTAAGGGTAGGGGGAAAAGACCCCAACATTGGAGGCCCCATGGAGGCAGGCAAGACCAACAGCAGGAATTCATTCCAGGGGCTGTGCCTGCTCTCAGAAGGACCCAGGCCAGTCCTGGCACACACTGGATGCTGACCCAGCCCTATACACACACAACCCTGAGTTCCCCTACATGCAGCCCAAAGACAGAGACAGCCAACAACACGTGGCACCACCTCTCTCCTGTCTGTCATCAGACACAGCCACCGCTTGCTATGGCACCCTTGGTGGCAGGTAACAAGGTAACTCCCTTCTGATCAGACAGATAGACAGAGGGTGACAAGGCTGCAGGTTCCTCGAAGACATGGGCCCCAGGAAAATGTGCCCATCTGTGTGTCGGTACAGTTCTTCTGTCTTCACTTGCCACAGACAGGTGAACCAGTCCATGTGACCCTCACGTCCATTTGTGTGTCAGCTGTGCGGGTGCCCCCTGGTGCTCCCCGATGGCCTCCTTCCTTGGTCATAGCCTTCCTTACGAATCTCCTGACCCCTTGGCCCGAACATGTAGGAGGGCCCTGCTGGGGCAAGGCATCCCCCACACACTCACACACACGTGCACAGTAGAAACGGGCAGGATACATATCTATAGCCATCCGAGGGTCCTGGCACCACCTCAGAGGGTACTGGTGTCCAGCAGCAGCCATCAGAGATTGGTATGGAACCCAGTGGCCTCCAGTCTCCGACCTAAGCCGCAGTGCCACGTGGGAAACCTTCCCTGCACAAAGTATATGCTCTGGGATCTGAGCCTATAGATGCTCATGGTCTACACCAACAGCCAGCCCAGGTGGTCATCTGCAAAAGAGAGAGAGAGAGAAATAGCCCCCATCACTGTGTCATCAGCTTCCCTGCCTGCCACGCTCTCCTCAGATGAGACAGCGCCATCTGGTTGCTAGAGTGGACATGCACATCCTCCTCTTCTGCCCAAATGAGACAGCGCCCCTGTTGCTAAAGAGGACAGGTACATTATCCCAGAGGTACCGCCAGGGTCCAAGTTCTCTGACAACCTCCAGTCTCTTATGGATGAAAACAGAGATGGGGAAGAAACACTGGCCTCAGATGCAAGGCCACAGGCAACCCCAGAAAGATGCCAGTCCTCAGGAAAGCCAGTGTCAGAGCACCTTCCTTAGCTTCCACTGCCTAAAACCCTGACACTGAGCCTAAGCCTAAGCCTAACGCTCCCAAATGAGGTGCCGTCCTCCCTCCTGTTTCCCCCTCCAACACGGGACAGGTCCATTCCAAAAGAATGTGTCGCGTGCAGTATCTGTGATGTCTTTCTCTGCTTCTATGTCTGTCTCTGGACTTAAGAATCTTCCACTGTGGCTGGGTTCGCAAGCTTTGCCCTCTGGTGGCCAAAACATGGAACAGGCGGCAGCATCTGAGTGAACTGGAAAGTGACAGAGTCTCTGAAGGAGAGAATCCCAAAAGACATCCTGATACTGTTCCAAACAATTTGGCTCGAATCTTTCAGTCATTTTCAGTTGACCCACACCTGAATCCTGCTTCTTTGGGTGAGAAGGTTTCCATGTTTTTGTCAATCTGTAGGTACCACAGCTCATTCTAGATTTCCGATGGGACTTGTATTCTGAGTCACCTTCCATTTTCTTGGGTCAAATTCAGGGCACTAGTAAAATGAAATTCTGGGCTTGTTGCTGATGCTGTCAGTTATGCCAAGCTACAACATGGGTCAGAGAGCAAAGAGATGCAAAAGATCTGAAGTGAGTTCGTGAATGACAGACACACAGAGGAATCCGAGCAGCAGGATGGATGCATTTGCAGTCCAGTGAGATGAGCTGAGCTTAGCTGGCCTGCACTGAGTGACCACCACTGGCCTGGATCACTGGTTTCCAAAGTCTCAGAGAGTCGCTGGTCAGCCTGGAGCCAGCAAAAAATATCACAAAGACTTTGAACAGTGAACCACCAGAAGGAAAGATGTCCTCCTGCAAAGGATTTAGCGAGAGTCTGACACCCAGTCAGACAGACAGACAGACAGACAGACAGACAGACACCTGACCTGTGTGTCTTCTGCTTCCTGGGTGGAGTGAGTGAGTTGATTTTACTCTCCTGCGTGTGGTTAAGGCTCATTCTGCTTTTCTCATGGGACTTCGGCCCTACCTTTCTCCCCAAGTGTGGATCGTCCATATTTCACAAGGGTTTTTCACCCAGAACCGCCAGCAAAATACAGACAGATATCCTGTCACAAAAGTGAGAGAGAGAGAGAGAGAGAGAGAGAGAGAGAGAGAGAGACAAAGAGAGACAGAGAGAGAGATAGAGAGAGAGCGAGAGAGAGAGAGAGAGAGAGCGAGTCTTACATCAATATTTGGGGTGGCATGTGTCTGTTAGCGTGAGGAACTAGGATTGTGCGTGTGTATGTATCTATTAGGATGAGTCTGGTGAGTGGGACATTGTGTGTGTGTTACTGTGAGTTGGTATGATTTTAGGGTGAGGGTGGGAAACGTGGCTTGTGTGTGTGTTTTAGTGTGAAGTAGGAGAAGGAGCCAGCTTGTGTTTTCCGAATGAGCCCATGGAACGGGGCATGTGTGTATATTTAGCATGAGCTTTGGGTAGACGGCTTGTGTGTGTTTTGAGGGTGAGCCCAGGGATTCTGGCATGTGTGAGCATATTAGGGTGAAGTTCAGGAGCGGGGAATGTGTGTGTTTTCAAGCTGAGTGTAGGAAACCGGGCATGTGTGTGTGTTTTTGGGGTGAAATGCGACCAATCTGACGTCTCAGGAACCCAGCTACTCCCTCGGAGCACTGACAGGTCACCCTGAAGCCTGAAATCCTAACCCTAACCCTTTTCTCAAACAGTAACACAAAGCCTAACTCGAACCCTAGCCCTAACCCCGCCTTGCTTGTCCTCCCTCCCATGGCTAACTCAAAATCATGGCATTTGGGTTCATCACTGGTAGACAGGCAGACAGACAGACAGACAGACAGACAGGCAGACACACACACACACACAGACACACACACACACAGACACACACACACAGCAGATTCCAAGCTGCTTACATTGACAGGCTTTGGAATATCTTATTAGCTGAGCTGGGAAACCTCCCACCTGCACACCAGGACACCCCCTCTTCCACATGTGTTGGAGTCAGACACTGAAACCCACGACCCTTGGCTGGCCCCAGAACCAACCGGGACTGAGCAGAGGAATGAAAGGAGGGAGGGACAGAGGGACAGATGGACCATGGTCTTTTAGTGGTCCTTCCTTCTTCCTTCCTTCCTTCCTTCTTTCCTTCCTTCCTTCCTTCCTTCCTTCCTTCCTTCCTTCCTTCCTTTCTTCCTTCCTTCTTTCCTCCCTTCCTTCCTCCCTTGCTTCTGGTCAAATAAGGGGCATGTTGGGAGTTGGAGACCAGCCTAGGCTCCAAAGGGAGCTCAAGGCCAGGCCAAATTGCATCCCTAGAGACCCTGGCTCAAGAAGCGAAAAAAATTAAAAATAAAACACATAAAAGACACAAAAACATAAATCCTTTATAAATGATGGGGGAAGTGTGGTTCGAAAGGCCATGGCACCGAGCATTTCTGAGGCGGCGTGGCTGGCAGGATTCCAGTGTATTAAACTGGTGACCTCCCATTTGAAGTGTGGGCACAGGGACCGCTGAGCCAGAGGCCCAGAAGGTTCATGGCTGACTTCCGTTTTTGAATAGAGACAGAGACAGGTGCAGGTTGTCTGTCTGTCTGGCTACACTCCCTCCCTTGTGGGCTAAATGCATCAGCGCTGGCCCCCAGACCACTCCTGAGCCCCTTTCTCTGCCACATGTGGGAAACAGGCAGGGAGACAGACCAGCTGAAATGGGAGGGGACGGGATGGGAGGTTTGAACTCACATGCAAATTAAAAAGTGACCCCGGACTTAGTCACATCCAGCTCCCACCTCCACCAGCAGCACCCACCGCTCCTTCCTTCCATCTCTGGCTCATCCAGGCTCAGTTCCGAGGGCCCAAACTCCACTCCACACATCTCTCCCTAATTCACCATCAATCCCAAGAGGCTAATGCCCCCACCCTTCCACCCCTTCCCCTGGTCTTGGTGCCTAGGATTGGGGTGGGGGCCCCGAGTTTCTGTCCATCTGTGGTTCCAGCATCAGTATTGAGGAGAGAAGGAGGAGGAGGAGGGAGAAGAATGAAAGGAGGTGAGAGCCGGGGGTGAAATGGAGTGGAGCGCTGGAAAGGCAGAAGCAGCCAGCCACCACCGTGGTCCAAGCAAACAAACCCCAAAACATCAGAGAGCAGGCAGAGTGAGGAGAGAGGAGAGAGGAGGGAGGGGAAAGCACAGAGAGAGAGAGAGACAGAGGGAGAGAGAGAGCAAGCCTGGTGAGGGAGAAAGGAGGAGGGCAGAGGTCCAAAAATGGGCGGGGTGGAGGGACTGATGAATGGAGACAGTGATGATTCTCCCTTTATTGGTTCTTCTGTTCATACATTCCTTCATTCGTTCATTCACTCATTCATTCACTTATTCGTCCCTTGGTTTGCAGGGAGCCTTTCTTTGTTCCTTCCCTTCCTTCCATCTTTATGGGTGAAAGTCAGATGGCTGCCCTGGAGCCTGGTGGGTGTGTGGCCCTAAGAGGCACAGAGGAGAGGCATGAAGGATCCCAGGGCTGGAAGGAAGGGCCCTGCCTACGTGGCAGAGGCTACAATAGCCTGGCAAGAGGGCAGCCCAGAACGTGACCCCTCCACAATGCACGGGGGTGGGGGGGGTGGGGGAGGCTGCTCAAGAACCCTCACCTGGCTGTGCTGTGGTGTGTGCTGGATGGCTGTGGTCCCCCTCATCTCCTCTTGCTCATCGTCGTGGGGTCCTGGAAGGCAGGAAGGCCAGCAGGCAGTCAGGCAGGCAGGCAGGTAGGAGCTTCCAGCAGAGCCGGCAGCTTGGAGCTGGGAGGCTGCAGCTGGGGGGGCCAGAGCCCTGAGCCCAGAGAGCTGGGTTCCAGGAACCTGGAGGAAGGCAATGAGCAAGGGTTGAGCAAAGGGTGGGCCAGCGGGTGGCCCAGTAAGTGACCCCAGCACCACACACCACAAAACATCATGGGGGCCCCCAGGCACAAGGACCCTCACCTTGCTGGCTGTCTGGTGGACAGCTGTTGTCCGCCTCAACTCATCGTGGCCCGCATCATCACGGGGTCCTGGAGGGCAGGCAGGCTGGCAGGAGGGAGGAAATGCATGGTGAGCCAGGATCCAGGAGCTGGGAGTGCCAAGTCCCAGGAACCTGGAGGAAAACATGGAGCCAGTGAAGGCTGAGCTGGGGAGGGCAGGGGAGAGGCCCAGAACTCCACCGCACCACTATACACCCCTCCACGGGGGGCAGGCGGGCGGCTCAGTCCAGTGACCCTCACCTCACTCGATGCATGGCAGATGGCTGTTGTCCCCATCTCTTCTTGGTCCGCATTGTCATGGGGTCCCTGAAGTCAGGCAGGTAGCCAGGCAAGCAGGCAGAGCTCCTGGGAGAGCTGGGAGCCAGGAGCTGGGCCAGCAAGAGGGGTCCTGGGAACCTGGAGGGGAATGGAGAGAGAAAGCAGGGAAGGGGAGCTCTGGAGGGCCAGCCAGAGGTCTGGCTGTGTGGGCTGGTTAACTCCTGCTGCATGGTGTCTGGTGCCTGAGCTTGTTAAGGCTTGAGGTCAGTCAGGGAGAATGCATGGGAAACCCTGGAGCCCAGGAGCCCAAGATCTGGCCACGCCCGTGCAGCCCAGCTAATCCCTCCATGCTGGCTGCAGATCCCATCAACCTGGCCCCTAATCCTTTCATCTCCTCCTGTGGCACCACCCTGGTGTCCCGGAAGTCCCCTTTCCCTTCACTCACTTCCTGGCTCGCTCATTGGCTGAGGAGGAGGATGGCATTATGGGGTGGACTCAGGATTTCAGAGGCAGGGTTTTCATTTCATTTTTTTTTCTTGGTCTTTTTCATTTTTATCTGTACCGGGGATCGAATTCAGGACCCCCTGCTTGCAAGGCAGGTGTTTATGCCGCTGAGTTAAACACCCAGCCCCCAGGATTTTCATTTTAAAAAAGTGGAAAAGAATATGGGGCTGATTAGGGATTAGGGCTGAGAGGGCAGAGAGCCATCAGCGTGTGGGGATCAGCAGGGTGTACTCCACAGAACTCTGGATGGGAGAATCACCAAAATGGGATGGCCACGTGGACAGTGAGGACTAGGAGGGAGGGTGGCCTGTGCTGATGCCCCTGGGTGAAGGCAAGGAGGCTGGCAGCCAGGCCAGGAGCACAGAGGAAGGCAAGCAGCCAGGGAAGGAAGGGGGCCCGGGAAGCAAGGACATCAGGGAGGCAATCCAGGGCAGACAGAGGAGGCGGAGAAGCCTGGGGAGGCAGAGCAGCACCCAGGGACCAGGAAGGAAGGCAAGGAGGAGCCAGGGAGCCCAGGGAGCCTGGGAAGAAGGGGTGCCAGGGAAGCCAGGAGGGAGACTGGGGAAGCCAGCCAGGGCAGCCAGAAGAGGCAGAGAGGATAGAGGAGGCAGGGCACCCAGGGAGCTCAGGGAACCCAGAAATCCCAGACAAAGCAGGGTTTAAAGCCAGGCAGGGAACCTTGACTGAACTCTGCCCAATCTTGGAAATCAGAGAGCCAGGGACTCAGGGACACAGGAGAACCTCGGAGGCCTTGGATGCTGAGAGGAAGCAGGAAAGCCTCGGAGAATTCGATGTTCAGTCAGCAGACAGACTTTTCCCACTTGGAAAATTTCACCTAGGCTGTGGAATTCATGGTGCATGAACCCACAGCAGATCCAATCCAGCCTGGGGTGTGGCATGGCTGCTGGGGCGTGGCAGCCCATTGCCTCCCTAAATCCCTGCCTGTTAAGCCCAGAGGCTGGCTAAACTGCAACCCTGCGCTAATTCTAACCCAGGCCATCCTAACCCTAGCTGCCTGGGGTCCACTGGCCTGCCCTAATCCAGCACTCCTCTAGCTAAGCCTCCGGAACCAACACCCTGTTGCCACCCTACTCCACTCCCTGCATCCTGTCTGCCACTCCCAGGCAGCCCACTCACTCACTCAGTCCCCTCCACTCTGTGCCCAGCCTCCAAGAGCCCAGAGACCACAGCACAGAAACCAGAGCACAGAGCCCAGAGCCAAAAGGCAAGAATGTAAAACTTCAAAGAGCAGAGGTCCTGAGAAAAGCAAAGAAAGAGACAGAGACAGAGATGGAGAAACAGCCAGAGACAGAGATGTCCAAAGAGTTAAAGGGCCCCCCGGAGAATAGCACAGAGGGGACAGCCCAGCCAGTGGTAAATGGGAAAGGAGGGGGGGGGATAAACTGGGGAATGAGGGATGGAGGGAGGGATCCAAAAGAGGCAAAGGGACTGAAGACAGACAGGGCAATCCCAGCAGCAAGACCCAGGCAGAGGCTTAGATTAGAATCCACTGAGCTGAGCTGAGCTGAGCTGCTGTGTGTGTTAGGCTCATGGTTGATGATCAGGGCATAGGTGTGTGTGTGTGTATGTGTGTGTGTGTGTGTGTGTGTGTGTGTGTGTGTGTGTGTGTGTGTGTCTGTGTGATGTTACGGTCTGTAAAAGAGTGGGGAAGGCCCCAGTTAACAGAGACATGGGTGAGGCTGCACAAACAACTGAGACCCAGCCCCAAAAAGCCCAGGGGAAGGTAAGAAAGCAGAGAGAGACTGAAAGCAGCCCAGGGAGGGAGAAAACCCGAGAGAGTGAAAAAAGACTGCAGCTCCTCCCCCTGCAAACAAAACCAGAGAGAACCCAAACTAGGCAAAGGCCAGAGGAAAGCAGAGACAGAGAAAGACAGAGAAACAGACAGAGACAGAGACAGTGACAGAGACAGAGAGACAGACAGAGAGAGTGAGGCAGAAAGAGTCTAAGGGCTCAGAGAAAGGTACAGAGAGTGTGCAGATGGGTGGTAAAAGGGACAGGACTGGGGATGAAAACAGGGAGGGATCGGAGAGAGGATCCAAAGGTGTTTGTGTAGGACAGATGTGGGAATCCCAGCAGACAGGCAGGAAGAGGAGTAGGTAGATCTGGGATCCATCAGCAGAGCTCAGCTGAGCCCTGAGTGTTAGGCTCTCGGGTGAAGATCAAGGCATAAGGGTGTGTGTGGTGTTAGGGTCTGAGAAAAAGCAGGGAGGAGAGAGTGAAAAAAGGCATAGGGCCACAAGGACAGCTGAGAGACAGCTAAAAGCAAGGCCCCTTGCACGACAAAAAGCAGAGAGAGAGAGAGAGAGAGAGAGAGAGAGAGAGAGAGAGAGAGAGAGAGAGAGAGCAAACAGAGAGAAACGGGTCCCAAGTGGGTTCATGGATGATGATCTAGGAGTCAGTCCAATCAGGGGGCAAATGGATAGACAGACACATGTGGGGTTTATGGAGCCCAGCTGAGCAGAGCCAAGTGAAGCAGAGCAGTGCAGTGCTGAGCCGAGCTGAGCTTCATATGCCAGTTTTATAGGTGATGATCAGGACATCTGTGTGGGTTGTTAGAGTTGGGGTGTGGGTGGATGCGGGGGGAGCATGTTTGTGTTGTGAACCTGCACTCATCAGTGCCCAGTGTGAGCGCAGGAGGCTGGGAGCCAGGGAGCCAAGCCTGAACACTCTTTCTGTGTTTTTTCACGGATCTCTGGATCTGAGAACCACCAAACCAAACAGGCAGACAGGTATCCCACTGGAAATGACATTCAGCTAGAGGTTGACATGGATTTTCACTCAGCATCAGACAGACAGACAGACACCTTTCTCCTCCCGCCTCCTTTGGTGAAGTAAGAGGGCTGATTTTTGTCTCCTGTGTGAGGCAGGCCTGGGGAAGGGGCGTGGTTCACCCTGCTGGCTGGCTCCTTTTGCTGCTCTGATGGGACTTTTAAGGTGAGCCAGTGATTTCTCCATGTTTCAGGATGCTACGTTAGGAAAAGAGAAATGCAATAAATTTTTCCATGGGGAACAATTCAACTAGACTGTCAAGTTGCTTTTTGGTACAACACAGCAACTTCCTCTAGGGTGGGGTTGATTCTAATCCAGCATCTAAACTGGCATTCCTTTGTGGTGGGTGGGGGATGGAGTAGGAGGTGGGGGTTCATGTGAATAGGGGCTTCTCTAAGCCACTGGCTCCCTAATCCCAGCAGATCTCTAACCCTCACCCCTCTGGTAGACCTAACATGAACCCCCCCAGGGCCACTCCCGCAACTTAATACACTGCTCCCCAAATCCTCAACAACCACCTCCTGGCTCTAGAAGTCCTGCTGGAAGTGACTTAATTAGAATCTGACATTCATCAGTGATGGGTGGGCTCATCAGAACTAGAGGTCTTCAGTCCCCCTCCCAGTTGGAGGGTGGAACTATATGGGTCACACTAGGCTGTGCTCTACAGAGAGATTCAGTCCCTTTAGAGGGTACTGGCACTGCTCTTTCCTCAACCTCAGAGGAGGAGCCAATATCAGGCTGCTCTGTGACCCCAACAACCTTCCATTGTTAGCCCTGGAGGGTAGCTAGTGGGCATGATGCAGACCATCGTATGAGCCTGAAGGATCTATGCAGAGCCCAGGATGAAGGTAAGGGTAGGGGGAAAAGACCCCAACATTGGAGGCCCCATGGAGGCAGGCAAGACCAACAGCAGGAATTCATTCCAGGGGCTGTGCCTGCTCTCAGAAGGACCCAGGCCAGTCCTGGCACACACTGGATGCTGACCCAGCCCTATACACACACAACCCTGAGTTCCCCTACATGCAGCCCAAAGACAGAGACAGCCAACAACACGTGGCACCACCTCTCTCCTGTCTGTCATCAGACACAGCCACCGCTTGCTATGGCACCCTTGGTGGCAGGTAACAAGGTAACTCCCTTCTGATCAGACAGATAGACAGAGGGTGACAAGGCTGCAGGTTCCTCGAAGACATGGGCCCCAGGAAAATGTGCCCATCTGTGTGTCGGTACAGTTCTTCTGTCTTCACTTGCCACAGACAGGTGAACCAGTCCATGTGACCCTCACGTCCATTTGTGTGTCAGCTGTGCGGGTGCCCCCTGGTGCTCCCCGATGGCCTCCTTCCTTGGTCATAGCCTTCCTTACGAATCTCCTGACCCCTTGGCCCGAACATGTAGGAGGGCCCTGCTGGGGCAAGGCATCCCCCACACACTCACACACACGTGCACAGTAGAAACGGGCAGGATACATATCTATAGCCATCCGAGGGTCCTGGCACCACCTCAGAGGGTACTGGTGTCCAGCAGCAGCCATCAGAGATTGGTATGGAACCCAGTGGCCTCCAGTCTCCGACCTAAGCCGCAGTGCCACGTGGGAAACCTTCCCTGCACAAAGTATATGCTCTGGGATCTGAGCCTATAGATGCTCATGGTCTACACCAACAGCCAGCCCAGGTGGTCATCTGCAAAAGAGAGAGAGAGAGAAATAGCCCCCATCACTGTGTCATCAGCTTCCCTGCCTGCCACGCTCTCCTCAGATGAGACAGCGCCATCTGGTGGCTAGAGTGGACATGCACATCCTCCTCTTCTGCCCAAATGAGACAGCGCCCCTGTTGGCTAAAGAGGACAGGTACATTATCCCAGAGGTACCGCCAGGGTCCAAGTTCTCTGACAACCTCCAGTCTCTTATGGATGAAAACAGAGATGGGGAAGAAACACTGGCCTCAGATGCAAGGCCACAGGCAACCCCAGAAAGATGCCAGTCCTCAGGAAAGCCAGTGTCAGAGCACCTTCCTTAGCTTCCACTGCCTAAAACCCTGACACTGAGCCTAAGCCTAAGCCTAACGCTCCCAAATGAGGTGCCGTCCTCCCTCCTGTTTCCCCCTCCAACACGGGACAGGTCCATTCCAAAAGAATGTGTCGCGTGCAGTATCTGTGATGTCTTTCTCTGCTTCTATGTCTGTCTCTGGACTTAAGAATCTTCCACTGTGGCTGGGTTCGCAAGCTTTGCCCTCTGGTGGCCAAAACATGGAACAGGCGGCAGCATCTGAGTGAACTGGAAAGTGACAGAGTCTCTGAAGGAGAGAATCCCAAAAGACATCCTGATACTGTTCCAAACAATTTGGCTCGAATCTTTCAGTCATTTTCAGTTGACCCACACCTGAATCCTGCTTCTTTGGGTGAGAAGGTTTCCATGTTTTTGTCAATCTGTAGGTACCACAGCTCATTCTAGATTTCCGATGGGACTTGTATTCTGAGTCACCTTCCATTTTCTTGGGTCAAATTCAGGGCACTAGTAAAATGAAATTCTGGGCTTGTTGCTGATGCTGTCAGTTATGCCAAGCTACAACATGGGTCAGAGAGCAAAGAGATGCAAAAGATCTGAAGTGAGTTCGTGAATGACAGACACACAGAGGAATCCGAGCAGCAGGATGGATGCATTTGCAGTCCAGTGAGATGAGCTGAGCTTAGCTGGCCTGCACTGAGTGACCACCACTGGCCTGGATCACTGGTTTCCAAAGTCTCAGAGAGTCGCTGGTCAGCCTGGAGCCAGCAAAAAATATCACAAAGACTTTGAACAGTGAACCACCAGAAGGAAAGATGTCCTCCTGCAAAGGATTTAGCGAGAGTCTGACACCCAGTCAGACAGACAGACAGACAGACAGACAGACAGACACACACCTGACCTGTGTGTCTTCTGCTTCCTGGGTGGAGTGAGTGAGTTGATTTTACTCTCCTGCGGGTGGTTAAGGCTCATTCTGCTTTTCTCATGGGACTTCGGCCCTACCTTTCTCCCCAAGTGTGGATCGTCCATATTTCACAAGGGTTTTTCACCCAGAACCGCCAGCAAAATACAGACAGATATCCTGTCACAAAAGTGAGAGAGAGAGAGAGAGAGAGAGAGAGAGAGAGAGAGAGAGACAAAGAGAGACAGAGAGAGAGATAGAGAGAGAGCGAGAGAGAGAGAGAGAGAGAGAGAGCGAGTCTTACATCAATATTTGGGGTGGCATGTGTCTGTTAGCGTGAGGAACTAGGATTGTGCGTGTGTATGTATCTATTAGGATGAGTCTGGTGAGTGGGACATTGTGTGTGTGTTACTGTGAGTTGGTATGATTTTAGGGTGAGGGTGGGAAACGTGGCTTGTGTGTGTGTTTTAGTGTGAAGTAGGAGAAGGAGCCAGCTTGTGTTTTCCGAATGAGCCCATGGAACGGGGCATGTGTGTATATTTAGCATGAGCTTTGGGTAGACGGCTTGTGTGTGTTTTGAGGGTGAGCCCAGGGATTCTGGCATGTGTGAGCATATTAGGGTGAAGTTCAGGAGCGGGGAATGTGTGTGTTTTCAAGCTGAGTGTAGGAAACCGGGCATGTGTGTGTGTTTTTGGGGTGAAATGCGACCAATCTGACGTCTCAGGAACCCAGCTACTCCCTCGGAGCACTGACAGGTCACCCTGAAGCCTGAAATCCTAACCCTAACCCTTTTCTCAAACAGTAACACAAAGCCTAACTCGAACCCTAGCCCTAACCCCGCCTTGCTTGTCCTCCCTCCCATGGCTAACTCAAAATCATGGCATTTGGGTTCATCACTGGTAGACAGGCAGACAGACAGACAGACAGACAGACAGGCAGACACACACACACACACAGACACACACACACACAGACACACACACACAGCAGATTCCAAGCTGCTTACATTGACAGGCTTTGGAATATCTTATTAGCTGAGCTGGGAAACCTCCCACCTGCACACCAGGACACCCCCTCTTCCACATGTGTTGGAGTCAGACACTGAAACCCACGACCCTTGGCTGGCCCCAGAACCAACCGGGACTGAGCAGAGGAATGAAAGGAGGGAGGGACAGAGGGACAGATGGACCATGGTCTTTTAGTGGTCCTTCCTTCTTCCTTCCTTCCTTCCTTCCTTCCTTCCTTCCTTCCTTCCTTCCTTTCTTCCTTCCTTCTTTCCTCCCTTCCTTCCTCCCTTGCTTCTGGTCAAATAAGGGGCATGTTGGGAGTTGGAGACCAGCCTAGGCTCCAAAGGGAGCTCAAGGCCAGGCCAAATTGCATCCCTAGAGACCCTGGCTCAAGAAGCGAAAAAAATTAAAAATAAAACACATAAAAGACACAAAAACATAAATCCTTTATAAATGATGGGGGAAGTGTGGTTCGAAAGGCCATGGCACCGAGCATTTCTGAGGCGGCGTGGCTGGCAGGATTCCAGTGTATTAAACTGGTGACCTCCCATTTGAAGTGTGGGCACAGGGACCGCTGAGCCAGAGGCCCAGAAGGTTCATGGCTGACTTCCGTTTTTGAATAGAGACAGAGACAGGTGCAGGTTGTCTGTCTGTCTGGCTACACTCCCTCCCTTGTGGGCTAAATGCATCAGCGCTGGCCCCCAGACCACTCCTGAGCCCCTTTCTCTGCCACATGTGGGAAACAGGCAGGGAGACAGACCAGCTGAAATGGGAGGGGACGGGATGGGAGGTTTGAACTCACATGCAAATTAAAAAGTGACCCCGGACTTAGTCACATCCAGCTCCCACCTCCACCAGCAGCACCCACCGCTCCTTCCTTCCATCTCTGGCTCATCCAGGCTCAGTTCCGAGGGCCCAAACTCCACTCCACACATCTCTCCCTAATTCACCATCAATCCCAAGAGGCTAATGCCCCACCCTTCCACCCCTTCCCCTGGTCTTGGTGCCTAGGATTGGGGTGGGGGCCCCGAGTTTCTGTCCATCTGTGGTTCCAGCATCAGTATTGAGGAGAGAAGGAGGAGGAGGAGGGAGAAGAATGAAAGGAGGTGAGAGCCGGGGGTGAAATGGAGTGGAGCGCTGGAAAGGCAGAAGCAGCCAGCCACCACCGTGGTCCAAGCAAACAAACCCCAAAACATCAGAGAGCAGGCAGAGTGAGGAGAGAGGAGAGAGGAGGGAGGGGAAAGCACAGAGAGAGAGAGAGACAGAGGGAGAGAGAGAGCAAGCCTGGTGAGGGAGAAAGGAGGAGGGCAGAGGTCCAAAAATGGGCGGGGTGGAGGGACTGATGAATGGAGACAGTGATGATTCTCCCTTTATTGGTTCTTCTGTTCATACATTCCTTCATTCGTTCATTCACTCATTCATTCACTTATTCGTCCCTTGGTTTGCAGGGAGCCTTTCTTTGTTCCTTCCCTTCCTTCCATCTTTATGGGTGAAAGTCAGATGGCTGCCCTGGAGCCTGGTGGGTGTGTGGCCCTAAGAGGCACAGAGGAGAGGCATGAAGGATCCCAGGGCTGGAAGGAAGGGCCCTGCCTACGTGGCAGAGGCTACAATAGCCTGGCAAGAGGGCAGCCCAGAACGTGACCCCTCCACAATGCACGGGGGTGGGGGGGGTGGGGGAGGCTGCTCAAGAACCCTCACCTGGCTGTGCTGTGGTGTGTGCTGGATGGCTGTGGTCCCCCTCATCTCCTCTTGCTCATCGTCGTGGGGTCCTGGAAGGCAGGAAGGCCAGCAGGCAGTCAGGCAGGCAGGCAGGTAGGAGCTTCCAGCAGAGCCGGCAGCTTGGAGCTGGGAGGCTGCAGCTGGGGGGGCCAGAGCCCTGAGCCCAGAGAGCTGGGTTCCAGGAACCTGGAGGAAGGCAATGAGCAAGGGTTGAGCAAAGGGTGGGCCAGCGGGTGGCCCAGTAAGTGACCCCAGCACCACACACCACAAAACATCATGGGGGCCCCCAGGCACAAGGACCCTCACCTTGCTGGCTGTCTGGTGGACAGCTGTTGTCCGCCTCAACTCATCGTGGCCCGCATCATCACGGGGTCCTGGAGGGCAGGCAGGCTGGCAGGAGGGAGGAGATGCATGGTGAGCCAGGATCCAGGAGCTGGGAGTGCCAAGTCCCAGGAACCTGGAGGAAAACATGGAGCCAGTGAAGGCTGAGCTGGGGAGGGCAGGGGAGAGGCCCAGAACTCCACCGCACCACTATACACCCCTCCACGGGGGGCAGGCGGGCGGCTCAGTCCAGTGACCCTCACCTCACTCGATGCATGGCAGATGGCTGTTGTCCCCATCTCTTCTTGGTCCGCATTGTCATGGGGTCCCTGAAGTCAGGCAGGTAGCCAGGCAAGCAGGCAGAGCTCCTGGGAGAGCTGGGAGCCAGGAGCTGGGCCAGCAAGAGGGGTCCTGGGAACCTGGAGGGGAATGGAGAGAGAAAGCAGGGAAGGGGAGCTCTGGAGGGCCAGCCAGAGGTCTGGCTGTGTGGGCTGGTTAACTCCTGCTGCATGGTGTCTGGTGCCTGAGCTTGTTAAGGCTTGAGGTCAGTCAGGGAGAATGCATGGGAAACCCTGGAGCCCAGGAGCCCAAGATCTGGCCACGCCCGTGCAGCCCAGCTAATCCCTCCATGCTGGCTGCAGATCCCATCAACCTGGCCCCTAATCCTTTCATCTCCTCCTGTGGCACCACCCTGGTGTCCCGGAAGTCCCCTTTCCCTTCACTCACTTCCTGGCTCGCTCATTGGCTGAGGAGGAGGATGGCATTATGGGGTGGACTCAGGATTTCAGAGGCAGGGTTTTCATTTCATTTTTTTTTCTTGGTCTTTTTCATTTTTATCTGTACCGGGGATCGAATTCAGGACCCCCTGCTTGCAAGGCAGGTGTTTATGCCGCTGAGTTAAACACCCAGCCCCCAGGATTTTCATTTTAAAAAAGTGGAAAAGAATATGGGGCTGATTAGGGATTAGGGCTGAGAGGGCAGAGAGCCATCAGCGTGTGGGGATCAGCAGGGTGTACTCCACAGAACTCTGGATGGGAGAATCACCAAAATGGGATGGCCACGTGGACAGTGAGGACTAGGAGGGAGGGTGGCCTGTGCTGATGCCCCTGGGTGAAGGCAAGGAGGCTGGCAGCCAGGCCAGGAGCACAGAGGAAGGCAAGCAGCCAGGGAAGGAAGGGGGCCCGGGAAGCAAGGACATCAGGGAGGCAATCCAGGGCAGACAGAGGAGGCGGAGAAGCCTGGGGAGGCAGAGCAGCACCCAGGGACCAGGAAGGAAGGCAAGGAGGAGCCAGGGAGCCCAGGGAGCCTGGGAAGAAGGGGTGCCAGGGAAGCCAGGAGGGAGACTGGGGAAGCCAGCCAGGGCAGCCAGAAGAGGCAGAGAGGATAGAGGAGGCAGGGCACCCAGGGAGCTCAGGGAACCCAGAAATCCCAGACAAAGCAGGGTTTAAAGCCAGGCAGGGAACCTTGACTGAACTCTGCCCAATCTTGGAAATCAGAGAGCCAGGGACTCAGGGACACAGGAGAACCTCGGAGGCCTTGGATGCTGAGAGGAAGCAGGAAAGCCTCGGAGAATTCGATGTTCAGTCAGCAGACAGACTTTTCCCACTTGGAAAATTTCACCTAGGCTGTGGAATTCATGGTGCATGAACCCACAGCAGATCCAATCCAGCCTGGGGTGTGGCATGGCTGCTGGGGCGTGGCAGCCCATTGCCTCCCTAAATCCCTGCCTGTTAAGCCCAGAGGCTGGCTAAACTGCAACCCTGCGCTAATTCTAACCCAGGCCATCCTAACCCTAGCTGCCTGGGGTCCACTGGCCTGCCCTAATCCAGCACTCCTCTAGCTAAGCCTCCGGAACCAACACCCTGTTGCCACCCTACTCCACTCCCTGCATCCTGTCTGCCACTCCCAGGCAGCCCACTCACTCACTCAGTCCCCTCCACTCTGTGCCCAGCCTCCAAGAGCCCAGAGACCACAGCACAGAAACCAGAGCACAGAGCCCAGAGCCAAAAGGCAAGAATGTAAAACTTCAAAGAGCAGAGGTCCTGAGAAAAGCAAAGAAAGAGACAGAGACAGAGATGGAGAAACAGCCAGAGACAGAGATGTCCAAAGAGTTAAAGGGCCCCCCGGAGAATAGCACAGAGGGGACAGCCCAGCCAGTGGTAAATGGGAAAGGAGGGGGGGGGGATAAACTGGGGAATGAGGGATGGAGGGAGGGATCCAAAAGAGGCAAAGGGACTGAAGACAGACAGGGCAATCCCAGCAGCAAGACCCAGGCAGAGGCTTAGATTAGAATCCACTGAGCTGAGCTGAGCTGAGCTGCTGTGTGTGTTAGGCTCATGGTTGATGATCAGGGCATAGGTGTGTGTGTGTGTATGTGTGTGTGTGTGTGTGTGTGTGTGTGTGTGTGTGTGTGTGTGTGTGTGTGTCTGTGTGATGTTACGGTCTGTAAAAGAGTGGGGAAGGCCCCAGTTAACAGAGACATGGGTGAGGCTGCACAAACAACTGAGACCCAGCCCCAAAAAGCCCAGGGGAAGGTAAGAAAGCAGAGAGAGACTGAAAGCAGCCCAGGGAGGGAGAAAACCCGAGAGAGTGAAAAAAGACTGCAGCTCCTCCCCCTGCAAACAAAACCAGAGAGAACCCAAACTAGGCAAAGGCCAGAGGAAAGCAGAGACAGAGAAAGACAGAGAAACAGACAGAGACAGAGACAGTGACAGAGACAGAGAGACAGACAGAGAGAGTGAGGCAGAAAGAGTCTAAGGGCTCAGAGAAAGGTACAGAGAGTGTGCAGATGGGTGGTAAAAGGGACAGGACTGGGGATGAAAACAGGGAGGGATCGGAGAGAGGATCCAAAGGTGTTTGTGTAGGACAGATGTGGGAATCCCAGCAGACAGGCAGGAAGAGGAGTAGGTAGATCTGGGATCCATCAGCAGAGCTCAGCTGAGCCCTGAGTGTTAGGCTCTCGGGTGAAGATCAAGGCATAAGGGTGTGTGTGGTGTTAGGGTCTGAGAAAAAGCAGGGAGGAGAGAGTGAAAAAAGGCATAGGGCCACAAGGACAGCTGAGAGACAGCTAAAAGCAAGGCCCCTTGCACGACAAAAAGCAGAGAGAGAGAGAGAGAGAGAGAGAGAGAGAGAGAGAGAGAGAGAGAGAGAGAGAGCAAACAGAGAGAAACGGGTCCCAAGTGGGTTCATGGATGATGATCTAGGAGTCAGTCCAATCAGGGGGCAAATGGATAGACAGACACATGTGGGGTTTATGGAGCCCAGCTGAGCAGAGCCAAGTGAAGCAGAGCAGTGCAGTGCTGAGCCGAGCTGAGCTTCATATGCCAGTTTTATAGGTGATGATCAGGACATCTGTGTGGGTTGTTAGAGTTGGGGTGTGGGTGGATGCGGGGGGAGCATGTTTGTGTTGTGAACCTGCACTCATCAGTGCCCAGTGTGAGCGCAGGAGGCTGGGAGCCAGGGAGCCAAGCCTGAACACTCTTTCTGTGTTTTTTCACGGATCTCTGGATCTGAGAACCACCAAACCAAACAGGCAGACAGGTATCCCACTGGAAATGACATTCAGCTAGAGGTTGACATGGATTTTCACTCAGCATCAGACAGACAGACAGACACCTTTCTCCTCCCGCCTCCTTTGGTGAAGTAAGAGGGCTGATTTTTGTCTCCTGTGTGAGGCAGGCCTGGGGAAGGGGCGTGGTTCACCCTGCTGGCTGGCTCCTTTTGCTGCTCTGATGGGACTTTTAAGGTGAGCCAGTGATTTCTCCATGTTTCAGGATGCTACGTTAGGAAAAGAGAAATGCAATAAATTTTTCCATGGGGAACAATTCAACTAGACTGTCAAGTTGCTTTTTGGTACAACACAGCAACTTCCTCTAGGGTGGGGTTGATTCTAATCCAGCATCTAAACTGGCATTCCTTTGTGGTGGGTGGGGGATGGAGTAGGAGGTGGGGGTTCATGTGAATAGGGGCTTCTCTAAGCCACTGGCTCCCTAATCCCAGCAGATCTCTAACCCTCACCCCTCTGGTAGACCTAACATGAACCCCCCCAGGGCCACTCCCGCAACTTAATACACTGCTCCCCAAATCCTCAACAACCACCTCCTGGCTCTAGAAGTCCTGCTGGAAGTGACTTAATTAGAATCTGACATTCATCAGTGATGGGTGGGCTCATCAGAACTAGAGGTCTTCAGTCCCCCTCCCAGTTGGAGGGTGGAACTATATGGGTCACACTAGGCTGTGCTCTACAGAGAGATTCAGTCCCTTTAGAGGGTACTGGCACTGCTCTTTCCTCAACCTCAGAGGAGGAGCCAATATCAGGCTGCTCTGTGACCCCAACAACCTTCCATTGTTAGCCCTGGAGGGTAGCTAGTGGGCATGATGCAGACCATCGTATGAGCCTGAAGGATCTATGCAGAGCCCAGGATGAAGGTAAGGGTAGGGGGAAAAGACCCCAACATTGGAGGCCCCATGGAGGCAGGCAAGACCAACAGCAGGAATTCATTCCAGGGGCTGTGCCTGCTCTCAGAAGGACCCAGGCCAGTCCTGGCACACACTGGATGCTGACCCAGCCCTATACACACACAACCCTGAGTTCCCCTACATGCAGCCCAAAGACAGAGACAGCCAACAACACGTGGCACCACCTCTCTCCTGTCTGTCATCAGACACAGCCACCGCTTGCTATGGCACCCTTGGTGGCAGGTAACAAGGTAACTCCCTTCTGATCAGACAGATAGACAGAGGGTGACAAGGCTGCAGGTTCCTCGAAGACATGGGCCCCAGGAAAATGTGCCCATCTGTGTGTCGGTACAGTTCTTCTGTCTTCACTTGCCACAGACAGGTGAACCAGTCCATGTGACCCTCACGTCCATTTGTGTGTCAGCTGTGCGGGTGCCCCCTGGTGCTCCCCGATGGCCTCCTTCCTTGGTCATAGCCTTCCTTACGAATCTCCTGACCCCTTGGCCCGAACATGTAGGAGGGCCCTGCTGGGGCAAGGCATCCCCCACACACTCACACACACGTGCACAGTAGAAACGGGCAGGATACATATCTATAGCCATCCGAGGGTCCTGGCACCACCTCAGAGGGTACTGGTGTCCAGCAGCAGCCATCAGAGATTGGTATGGAACCCAGTGGCCTCCAGTCTCCGACCTAAGCCGCAGTGCCACGTGGGAAACCTTCCCTGCACAAAGTATATGCTCTGGGATCTGAGCCTATAGATGCTCATGGTCTACACCAACAGCCAGCCCAGGTGGTCATCTGCAAAAGAGAGAGAGAGAGAAATAGCCCCCATCACTGTGTCATCAGCTTCCCTGCCTGCCACGCTCTCCTCAGATGAGACAGCGCCATCTGGTGGCTAGAGTGGACATGCACATCCTCCTCTTCTGCCCAAATGAGACAGCGCCCCTGTGCTAAAGAGGACAGGTACATTATCCCAGAGGTACCGCCAGGGTCCAAGTTCTCTGACAACCTCCAGTCTCTTATGGATGAAAACAGAGATGGGGAAGAAACACTGGCCTCAGATGCAAGGCCACAGGCAACCCCAGAAAGATGCCAGTCCTCAGGAAAGCCAGTGTCAGAGCACCTTCCTTAGCTTCCACTGCCTAAAACCCTGACACTGAGCCTAAGCCTAAGCCTAACGCTCCCAAATGAGGTGCCGTCCTCCCTCCTGTTTCCCCCTCCAACACGGGACAGGTCCATTCCAAAAGAATGTGTCGCGTGCAGTATCTGTGATGTCTTTCTCTGCTTCTATGTCTGTCTCTGGACTTAAGAATCTTCCACTGTGGCTGGGTTCGCAAGCTTTGCCCTCTGGTGGCCAAAACATGGAACAGGCGGCAGCATCTGAGTGAACTGGAAAGTGACAGAGTCTCTGAAGGAGAGAATCCCAAAAGACATCCTGATACTGTTCCAAACAATTTGGCTCGAATCTTTCAGTCATTTTCAGTTGACCCACACCTGAATCCTGCTTCTTTGGGTGAGAAGGTTTCCATGTTTTTGTCAATCTGTAGGTACCACAGCTCATTCTAGATTTCCGATGGGACTTTGTATTCTGAGTCACCTTTTCCATTTTCTTGGGTCAAATTCAGGGCACTAGTAAAATGAAATTCTGGGCTTGTTGCTGATGCTGTCAGTTATGCCAAGCTACAACATGGGTCAGAGAGCAAAGAGATGCAAAAGATCTGAAGTGAGTTCGTGAATGACAGACACACAGAGGAATCCGAGCAGCAGGATGGATGCATTTGCAGTCCAGTGAGATGAGCTGAGCTTAGCTGGCCTGCACTGAGTGACCACCACTGGCCTGGATCACTGGTTTCCAAAGTCTCAGAGAGTCGCTGGTCAGCCTGGAGCCAGCAAAAAATATCACAAAGACTTTGAACAGTGAACCACCAGAAGGAAAGATGTCCTCCTGCAAAGGATTTAGCGAGAGTCTGACACCCAGTCAGACAGACAGACAGACAGACAGACAGACAGACACCTGACCTGTGTGTCTTCTGCTTCCTGGGTGGAGTGAGTGAGTTGATTTTACTCTCCTGCGTGTGGTTAAGGCTCATTCTGCTTTTCTCATGGGACTTCGGCCCTACCTTTCTCCCCAAGTGTGGATCGTCCATATTTCACAAGGGTTTTTCACCCAGAACCGCCAGCAAAATACAGACAGATATCCTGTCACAAAAGTGAGAGAGAGAGAGAGAGAGAGAGAGAGAGAGAGAGAGAGAGACAAAGAGAGACAGAGAGAGAGATAGAGAGAGAGCGAGAGAGAGAGAGAGAGAGAGCGAGTCTTACATCAATATTTGGGGTGGCATGTGTCTGTTAGCGTGAGGAACTAGGATTGTGCGTGTGTATGTATCTATTAGGATGAGTCTGGTGAGTGGGACATTGTGTGTGTGTTACTGTGAGTTGGTATGATTTTAGGGTGAGGGTGGGAAACGTGGCTTGTGTGTGTGTTTTAGTGTGAAGTAGGAGAAGGAGCCAGCTTGTGTTTTCCGAATGAGCCCATGGAACGGGGCATGTGTGTATATTTAGCATGAGCTTTGGGTAGACGGCTTGTGTGTGTTTTGAGGGTGAGCCCAGGGATTCTGGCATGTGTGAGCATATTAGGGTGAAGTTCAGGAGCGGGGAATGTGTGTGTTTTCAAGCTGAGTGTAGGAAACCGGGCATGTGTGTGTGTTTTTGGGGTGAAATGCGACCAATCTGACGTCTCAGGAACCCAGCTACTCCCTCGGAGCACTGACAGGTCACCCTGAAGCCTGAAATCCTAACCCTAACCCTTTTCTCAAACAGTAACACAAAGCCTAACTCGAACCCTAGCCCTAACCCCGCCTTGCTTGTCCTCCCTCCCATGGCTAACTCAAAATCATGGCATTTGGGTTCATCACTGGTAGACAGGCAGACAGACAGACAGACAGACAGACAGGCAGACACACACACACACACAGACACACACACACACAGACACACACACACAGCAGATTCCAAGCTGCTTACATTGACAGGCTTTGGAATATCTTATTAGCTGAGCTGGGAAACCTCCCACCTGCACACCAGGACACCCCCTCTTCCACATGTGTTGGAGTCAGACACTGAAACCCACGACCCTTGGCTGGCCCCAGAACCAACCGGGACTGAGCAGAGGAATGAAAGGAGGGAGGGACAGAGGGACAGATGGACCATGGTCTTTTAGTGGTCCTTCCTTCTTCCTTCCTTCCTTCCTTCTTTCCTTCCTTCCTTCCTTCCTTCCTTCCTTCCTTCCTTCCTTCCTTCCTTCCTTCCTTTCTTCCTTCCTTCTTTCCTCCCTTCCTTCCTCCCTTGCTTCTGGTCAAATAAGGGGCATGTTGGGAGTTGGAGACCAGCCTAGGCTCCAAAGGGAGCTCAAGGCCAGGCCAAATTGCATCCCTAGAGACCCTGGCTCAAGAAGCGAAAAAAATTAAAAATAAAACACATAAAAGACACAAAAACATAAATCCTTTATAAATGATGGGGGAAGTGTGGTTCGAAAGGCCATGGCACCGAGCATTTCTGAGGCGGCGTGGCTGGCAGGATTCCAGTGTATTAAACTGGTGACCTCCCATTTGAAGTGTGGGCACAGGGACCGCTGAGCCAGAGGCCCAGAAGGTTCATGGCTGACTTCCGTTTTTGAATAGAGACAGAGACAGGTGCAGGTTGTCTGTCTGTCTGGCTACACTCCCTCCCTTGTGGGCTAAATGCATCAGCGCTGGCCCCCAGACCACTCCTGAGCCCCTTTCTCTGCCACATGTGGGAAACAGGCAGGGAGACAGACCAGCTGAAATGGGAGGGGACGGGATGGGAGGTTTGAACTCACATGCAAATTAAAAAGTGACCCCGGACTTAGTCACATCCAGCTCCCACCTCCACCAGCAGCACCCACCGCTCCTTCCTTCCATCTCTGGCTCATCCAGGCTCAGTTCCGAGGGCCCAAACTCCACTCCACACATCTCTCCCTAATTCACCATCAATCCCAAGAGGCTAATGCCCCCACCCTTCCACCCCTTCCCCTGGTCTTGGTGCCTAGGATTGGGGTGGGGGCCCCGAGTTTCTGTCCATCTGTGGTTCCAGCATCAGTATTGAGGAGAGAAGGAGGAGGAGGAGGGAGAAGAATGAAAGGAGGTGAGAGCCGGGGGTGAAATGGAGTGGAGCGCTGGAAAGGCAGAAGCAGCCAGCCACCACCGTGGTCCAAGCAAACAAACCCCAAAACATCAGAGAGCAGGCAGAGTGAGGAGAGAGGAGAGAGGAGGGAGGGGAAAGCACAGAGAGAGAGAGAGACAGAGGGAGAGAGAGAGCAAGCCTGGTGAGGGAGAAAGGAGGAGGGCAGAGGTCCAAAAATGGGCGGGGTGGAGGGACTGATGAATGGAGACAGTGATGATTCTCCCTTTATTGGTTCTTCTGTTCATACATTCCTTCATTCGTTCATTCACTCATTCATTCACTTATTCGTCCCTTGGTTTGCAGGGAGCCTTTCTTTGTTCCTTCCCTTCCTTCCATCTTTATGGGTGAAAGTCAGATGGCTGCCCTGGAGCCTGGTGGGTGTGTGGCCCTAAGAGGCACAGAGGAGAGGCATGAAGGATCCCAGGGCTGGAAGGAAGGGCCCTGCCTACGTGGCAGAGGCTACAATAGCCTGGCAAGAGGGCAGCCCAGAACGTGACCCCTCCACAATGCACGGGGGTGGGGGGGGTGGGGGAGGCTGCTCAAGAACCCTCACCTGGCTGTGCTGTGGTGTGTGCTGGATGGCTGTGGTCCCCCTCATCTCCTCTTGCTCATCGTCGTGGGGTCCTGGAAGGCAGGAAGGCCAGCAGGCAGTCAGGCAGGCAGGCAGGTAGGAGCTTCCAGCAGAGCCGGCAGCTTGGAGCTGGGAGGCTGCAGCTGGGGGGGCCAGAGCCCTGAGCCCAGAGAGCTGGGTTCCAGGAACCTGGAGGAAGGCAATGAGCAAGGGTTGAGCAAAGGGTGGGCCAGCGGGTGGCCCAGTAAGTGACCCCAGCACCACACACCACAAAACATCATGGGGGCCCCCAGGCACAAGGACCCTCACCTTGCTGGCTGTCTGGTGGACAGCTGTTGTCCGCCTCAACTCATCGTGGCCCGCATCATCACGGGGTCCTGGAGGGCAGGCAGGCTGGCAGGAGGGAGGAAATGCATGGTGAGCCAGGATCCAGGAGCTGGGAGTGCCAAGTCCCAGGAACCTGGAGGAAAACATGGAGCCAGTGAAGGCTGAGCTGGGGAGGGCAGGGGAGAGGCCCAGAACTCCACCGCACCACTATACACCCCTCCACGGGGGGCAGGCGGGCGGCTCAGTCCAGTGACCCTCACCTCACTCGATGCATGGCAGATGGCTGTTGTCCCCATCTCTTCTTGGTCCGCATTGTCATGGGGTCCCTGAAGTCAGGCAGGTAGCCAGGCAAGCAGGCAGAGCTCCTGGGAGAGCTGGGAGCCAGGAGCTGGGCCAGCAAGAGGGGTCCTGGGAACCTGGAGGGGAATGGAGAGAGAAAGCAGGGAAGGGGAGCTCTGGAGGGCCAGCCAGAGGTCTGGCTGTGTGGGCTGGTTAACTCCTGCTGCATGGTGTCTGGTGCCTGAGCTTGTTAAGGCTTGAGGTCAGTCAGGGAGAATGCATGGGAAACCCTGGAGCCCAGGAGCCCAAGATCTGGCCACGCCCGTGCAGCCCAGCTAATCCCTCCATGCTGGCTGCAGATCCCATCAACCTGGCCCCTAATCCTTTCATCTCCTCCTGTGGCACCACCCTGGTGTCCCGGAAGTCCCCTTTCCCTTCACTCACTTCCTGGCTCGCTCATTGGCTGAGGAGGAGGATGGCATTATGGGGTGGACTCAGGATTTCAGAGGCAGGGTTTTCATTTCATTTTTTTTTCTTGGTCTTTTTCATTTTTATCTGTACCGGGGATCGAATTCAGGACCCCCTGCTTGCAAGGCAGGTGTTTATGCCGCTGAGTTAAACACCCAGCCCCCAGGATTTTCATTTTAAAAAAGTGGAAAAGAATATGGGGCTGATTAGGGATTAGGGCTGAGAGGGCAGAGAGCCATCAGCGTGTGGGGATCAGCAGGGTGTACTCCACAGAACTCTGGATGGGAGAATCACCAAAATGGGATGGCCACGTGGACAGTGAGGACTAGGAGGGAGGGTGGCCTGTGCTGATGCCCCTGGGTGAAGGCAAGGAGGCTGGCAGCCAGGCCAGGAGCACAGAGGAAGGCAAGCAGCCAGGGAAGGAAGGGGGCCCGGGAAGCAAGGACATCAGGGAGGCAATCCAGGGCAGACAGAGGAGGCGGAGAAGCCTGGGGAGGCAGAGCAGCACCCAGGGACCAGGAAGGAAGGCAAGGAGGAGCCAGGGAGCCCAGGGAGCCTGGGAAGAAGGGGTGCCAGGGAAGCCAGGAGGGAGACTGGGGAAGCCAGCCAGGGCAGCCAGAAGAGGCAGAGAGGATAGAGGAGGCAGGGCACCCAGGGAGCTCAGGGAACCCAGAAATCCCAGACAAAGCAGGGTTTAAAGCCAGGCAGGGAACCTTGACTGAACTCTGCCCAATCTTGGAAATCAGAGAGCCAGGGACTCAGGGACACAGGAGAACCTCGGAGGCCTTGGATGCTGAGAGGAAGCAGGAAAGCCTCGGAGAATTCGATGTTCAGTCAGCAGACAGACTTTTCCCACTTGGAAAATTTCACCTAGGCTGTGGAATTCATGGTGCATGAACCCACAGCAGATCCAATCCAGCCTGGGGTGTGGCATGGCTGCTGGGGCGTGGCAGCCCATTGCCTCCCTAAATCCCTGCCTGTTAAGCCCAGAGGCTGGCTAAACTGCAACCCTGCGCTAATTCTAACCCAGGCCATCCTAACCCTAGCTGCCTGGGGTCCACTGGCCTGCCCTAATCCAGCACTCCTCTAGCTAAGCCTCCGGAACCAACACCCTGTTGCCACCCTACTCCACTCCCTGCATCCTGTCTGCCACTCCCAGGCAGCCCACTCACTCACTCAGTCCCCTCCACTCTGTGCCCAGCCTCCAAGAGCCCAGAGACCACAGCACAGAAACCAGAGCACAGAGCCCAGAGCCAAAAGGCAAGAATGTAAAACTTCAAAGAGCAGAGGTCCTGAGAAAAGCAAAGAAAGAGACAGAGACAGAGATGGAGAAACAGCCAGAGACAGAGATGTCCAAAGAGTTAAAGGGCCCCCCGGAGAATAGCACAGAGGGGACAGCCCAGCCAGTGGTAAATGGGAAAGGAGGGGGGGGGGATAAACTGGGGAATGAGGGATGGAGGGAGGGATCCAAAAGAGGCAAAGGGACTGAAGACAGACAGGGCAATCCCAGCAGCAAGACCCAGGCAGAGGCTTAGATTAGAATCCACTGAGCTGAGCTGAGCTGAGCTGCTGTGTGTGTTAGGCTCATGGTTGATGATCAGGGCATAGGTGTGTGTGTGTGTATGTGTGTGTGTGTGTGTGTGTGTGTGTGTGTGTGTGTGTGTGTGTGTGTCTGTGTGATGTTACGGTCTGTAAAAGAGTGGGGAAGGCCCCAGTTAACAGAGACATGGGTGAGGCTGCACAAACAACTGAGACCCAGCCCCAAAAAGCCCAGGGGAAGGTAAGAAAGCAGAGAGAGACTGAAAGCAGCCCAGGGAGGGAGAAAACCCGAGAGAGTGAAAAAAGACTGCAGCTCCTCCCCCTGCAAACAAAACCAGAGAGAACCCAAACTAGGCAAAGGCCAGAGGAAAGCAGAGACAGAGAAAGACAGAGAAACAGACAGAGACAGAGACAGTGACAGAGACAGAGAGACAGACAGAGAGAGTGAGGCAGAAAGAGTCTAAGGGCTCAGAGAAAGGTACAGAGAGTGTGCAGATGGGTGGTAAAAGGGACAGGACTGGGGATGAAAACAGGGAGGGATCGGAGAGAGGATCCAAAGGTGTTTGTGTAGGACAGATGTGGGAATCCCAGCAGACAGGCAGGAAGAGGAGTAGGTAGATCTGGGATCCATCAGCAGAGCTCAGCTGAGCCCTGAGTGTTAGGCTCTCGGGTGAAGATCAAGGCATAAGGGTGTGTGTGGTGTTAGGGTCTGAGAAAAAGCAGGGAGGAGAGAGTGAAAAAAGGCATAGGGCCACAAGGACAGCTGAGAGACAGCTAAAAGCAAGGCCCCTTGCACGACAAAAAGCAGAGAGAGAGACAGAGAGAGAGAGAGAGAGAGAGAGAGAGAGAGAGAGAGAGAGAGAGCAAACAGAGAGAAACGGGTCCCAAGTGGGTTCATGGATGATGATCTAGGAGTCAGTCCAATCAGGGGGCAAATGGATAGACAGACACATGTGGGGTTTATGGAGCCCAGCTGAGCAGAGCCAAGTGAAGCAGAGCAGTGCAGTGCTGAGCCGAGCTGAGCTTCATATGCCAGTTTTATAGGTGATGATCAGGACATCTGTGTGGGTTGTTAGAGTTGGGGTGTGGGTGGATGCGGGGGGAGCATGTTTGTGTTGTGAACCTGCACTCATCAGTGCCCAGTGTGAGCGCAGGAGGCTGGGAGCCAGGGAGCCAAGCCTGAACACTCTTTCTGTGTTTTTTCACGGATCTCTGGATCTGAGAACCACCAAACCAAACAGGCAGACAGGTATCCCACTGGAAATGACATTCAGCTAGAGGTTGACATGGATTTTCACTCAGCATCAGACAGACAGACAGACACCTTTCTCCTCCCGCCTCCTTTGGTGAAGTAAGAGGGCTGATTTTTGTCTCCTGTGTGAGGCAGGCCTGGGGAAGGGGCGTGGTTCACCCTGCTGGCTGGCTCCTTTTGCTGCTCTGATGGGACTTTTAAGGTGAGCCAGTGATTTCTCCATGTTTCAGGATGCTACGTTAGGAAAAGAGAAATGCAATAAATTTTTCCATGGGGAACAATTCAACTAGACTGTCAAGTTGCTTTTTGGTACAACACAGCAACTTCCTCTAGGGTGGGGTTGATTCTAATCCAGCATCTAAACTGGCATTCCTTTGTGGTGGGTGGGGGATGGAGTAGGAGGTGGGGGTTCATGTGAATAGGGGCTTCTCTAAGCCACTGGCTCCCTAATCCCAGCAGATCTCTAACCCTCACCCCTCTGGTAGACCTAACATGAACCCCCCCAGGGCCACTCCCGCAACTTAATACACTGCTCCCCAAATCCTCAACAACCACCTCCTGGCTCTAGAAGTCCTGCTGGAAGTGACTTAATTAGAATCTGACATTCATCAGTGATGGGTGGGCTCATCAGAACTAGAGGTCTTCAGTCCCCCTCCCAGTTGGAGGGTGGAACTATATGGGTCACACTAGGCTGTGCTCTACAGAGAGATTCAGTCCCTTTAGAGGGTACTGGCACTGCTCTTTCCTCAACCTCAGAGGAGGAGCCAATATCAGGCTGCTCTGTGACCCCAACAACCTTCCATTGTTAGCCCTGGAGGGTAGCTAGTGGGCATGATGCAGACCATCGTATGAGCCTGAAGGATCTATGCAGAGCCCAGGATGAAGGTAAGGGTAGGGGGAAAAGACCCCAACATTGGAGGCCCCATGGAGGCAGGCAAGACCAACAGCAGGAATTCATTCCAGGGGCTGTGCCTGCTCTCAGAAGGACCCAGGCCAGTCCTGGCACACACTGGATGCTGACCCAGCCCTATACACACACAACCCTGAGTTCCCCTACATGCAGCTCAAAGACAGAGACAGCCAACAACACGTGGCACCACCTCTCTCCTGTCTGTCATCAGACACAGCCACCGCTTGCTATGGCACCCTTGGTGGCAGGTAACAAGGTAACTCCCTTCTGATCAGACAGATAGACAGAGGGTGACAAGGCTGCAGGTTCCTCGAAGACATGGGCCCCAGGAAAATGTGCCCATCTGTGTGTCGGTACAGTTCTTCTGTCTTCACTTGCCACAGACAGGTGAACCAGTCCATGTGACCCTCACGTCCATTTGTGTGTCAGCTGTGCGGGTGCCCCCTGGTGCTCCCCGATGGCCTCCTTCCTTGGTCATAGCCTTCCTTATGAATCTCCTGACCCCTTGGCCCGAACATGTAGGAGGGCCCTGCTGGGGCAAGGCATCCCCCACACACTCACACACACGTGCACAGTAGAAACGGGCAGGATACATATCTATAGCCATCCGAGGGTCCTGGCACCACCTCAGAG